TTATCAGACAATTAAGTCGATTTTAGTCATTCGCATGTTGCGGTCGATTCGGCGAGGGCCTGACGTGCCGTTGGCGAAATTTTCGACGGCACCGATGGATACGAATTGTAAAGTTCGCAGGCTTTATAACGGATAAAGAGGCCGTTTTTGGTATTTATGTGTGATTAAGTGTTTAGGCAAACTGTAATAGGCGTAATAATTGTACGGTGTATTTTCCTAATTGTTTGTCTTTTAATCGGAAAAAGGAATGTGCGATAACATTGTGCGCTCCATAAATTGTGTATGCTTTCGATTTTCGCGACACATAACTTCGCTTCGTTTTATATAATCTTTTTACAATATATAATTTAGCAACAAATTGAAATAAATACCGGTAAAGTGCAACATTCTTAGTAGAACATTATGTAATCACTGCAAATTATATTTTGGTTAATATTATTGAATTAATTAGCAGGAAGAATTTTGTGCGATTACAAATAAATAAGTATGTAGGTAAATTTTTGTTAGCTATTATAACAATAAAGTTTAAAATTTAATTCCAATTTTAATTAAAATAGTTTCTCTGATTCGCCGAAAGTGCGTGGTTTGTAGATGATATTGATAGATTTAATGTGATAATAGCTATTTCTTCTCAAAAATTAACTGCATAGATAGTCGCCACCTGTCAATATATTATGATAAACTTAATAACCAATTTAAATGACGCATCAATGATCGCACAATTTTCAATTTTTAGAATAAAATTAATTCGCAAATTGATTTTATTCAAAAAAATTTCTACACCCAGTGATATTCGCACTGACGAATCAAACGACAAATAATAATTATTCATCGAAATCAGTTAACTCTTTTAGGGTACTAAATTATTCGGGAACATTAGGCCGGACGCACATACATAGTTACAGCTCAAACCAGGTATGGGTGATTTTGCCCATGCTTAGCTCAAACGCATAACCCCGCTTATTTGGTTTCGCCGGGTGAAAACAGTGTGCGAAGTATAATTGCAGTTTGGTATGACATGAGACAGCTAAGTTAAGTGTAGATATCTACAAACATATATGGACACTGGTTCACTCGCTTAGAGTCCTTGAGTCAATAGTCCGCCGTCTGTTGAAACTACAGTTCTGTTTGTTTAACGGGTTTGCGCGTCGTATCTTTATTCTTTATCGTACTATATCGTACATTCGTTTTGTTATGAACGATTCGTGGTTATAGAAAAATGCTGGATGATCGAAACATTTAAGAGTCAGATGAAAATCAAACTCGGGACCGCCATTCGAATCCCTATCATCAGAAGGAATATTTAATTTTACTAAAATGCTTTCAAAACGGCGCGCGGTCCATTTGCAACACCAGTACTTACAATACAGTAATTCCTACGGATACGACAATGTTACTCACAGATATGAAAAATTTTGTCTGCTGATAAGTATGGCGGCCTTTAATGATGATTAATTCTCAAGGCGAAAGTTATAGATTGCATTAAATCGCGACGCCCTAATGATGTTTTCAGCTCCAATTAAAATTAATTACAGTTAATAAGAGTATTTAATAATTAGTATAGACACAAATTATGCTTAAACATTCATTAATACATAATCAACATTTATAATTTTTTACGCATTTAATGTAATCGTTATAATATTTTAAATACCGTAATTGATAATCTATACAGATAAATAAAATTGGAGTGTCTGTTTGTAATTTTAAAATAACCGCTTTTTACTAAATGCATATGGATGTATACAAGGTACATATACCAAAATAACATTTTCACAATTTTTGTCTGTCTGTCTGTCTGTTTGTTCCGGCTAATCTCTGAAACGGCTGGAGCGATGTGGACGGGACATTCACTGGCAGATACCTGATGTAAAAAGGAGTAACTTAGGCTACTTTTATTTTAGAAATGTTTTTAAATTTAAAATTCCACGCGGACGAAGTCGCGGGCGCAGCTAGTTAATTAATAGAATTGATAAATTTCGCACACAATGCTAAAAACATGTTATATAATTTTGGTTGTTATATATATGTTTATAAATAAATAAATTATTTTACTCTGATGGCGCATAATTTGCATCGATTCCTTACGATTGACTACATCAGTGTTAGATAAGTAATTAATTGAATTAAAAAACTGAAGAAACACTGTTTACGTCCTGAAGTATCATGGTCAGAATATCGTTGTTAAGTGAATATAATTAATAAATAACCGGCACCAAATCTTTTAAGGTTGGCATTGCATCTGCAACCTCTCAGATACTGTATAATATAACCATAGGCGGCCGTAAGCTCATAACAGTTGAACCGGGCTGGCCGCTTGACAACTTTGAAAAAAAAAACATCAACTATCGCTTTGCTGATAACACGTCAACACTCTGAAGTACAATGGTTTTTAGGATTCCGTACCGAAAGGGTAAAACGGGACCCTATTACTAAGACTCCGCTGTCTGTCCGTCCGTGTGTCAACTATAAATACTAAAAAACAGAATAAAAAAATATTTAAGCGGAGCTCTCATACAACAGACATGTTTTTTTTAATAGATAATGGTACGGAACCCTTCGTGCGCGATTCCGACTCGCACTTGGTCAGTTTATTTAATGCTATCACGAGGTTCTGAGGCAGTGACATCTGGTCAAAAGTACGTGACAATGTTTAAAAGATGATTTTACGAGACAATGTTTGAAATGTGTGATTTTAAAATGTAACTTCAACGAATCTCATCGCGTGAGGTCATTGACCGGCGCACCCCGACTTAGGCGCGGTTAGTGTTGCAAACGTGACTCATTGCGTTTTTTATTTGCTTTAAATTCGCATTGACAGTGCGAGTCGCTTTTAATTTGCAAAGTGTCGACGACTAAACAAAAAATATGTTTACTCTCGTTGCTGATAGATGGCGTGGATATTATTTAAATTGAAAGAGGAAAAACTTATAATGTTAGTCACATTGCACCAAGCCTATTATTTTTGAAGAGTGATTATTTCTAAATTTGGTAATCCTAACATGTCTTTGCATTTTCCGCTTAATTTAACGTCGTCTAGTGGTACAGTGGGTATTAATTTAATTGATATCAACCATAAGGTAATCAACAAACAGGGATACTATTTATGTATAAATAAAATTACCTAGAAACATGAAAGCAGCGAATATAATTAGAGCGTACACATAAATTTTAATTTGAACTTACAAATTCTATATATTAATAAGCCGCAATTAAATCTCCTTTATGAAGGTAAACGAATACTAAAACTTTTAATGTACCATAAAGATTACCTAACATTTATTAAGAAATACTAAAATTTTGATTTCAAATAAAATATACGAATTATTGTCTCAGCTTACACCAAGCGATCGATTAAATAAAAGTGAGTCGTATGGTGAATAACGCCATCTAGCAGAAGTAGGTCTAACTAAAATTATTACGCTTTTAATTTAAAACGGTATTTTGACAAGTAATTTACCAAAATGGTTGTTTTATCTCAAGGTTATACGATTAATACCTGTTACTGGGACCGATAGAGAAATATCGATATATCGACATTTTCTCTTCGATGTATCGAGGCCGATATTGATATTTATATAAATATTATCGATTCATCGATACATTCTGCACTCTCGACATCCCTACGCGCAAGTATTGTCGGTTCGATTGGCGGTGGTAGTTTTTCGACATTCAATGAGAGCCCAAAATAAGCCTATGTTGAATAAAGAAATTTTAACTTTAACTATTATTTTATTATTTGACTATTAAAATAGGCCTATATTGAATATTTTTGTAATTTCGTATCTCAGTTAAAATTGATTACAGGATTGCCTAGTGAGGAAACTAACGGAAATCATATTTATACTAGGTATAAATAAAGGTTCAATCCGTCATCAGCAAAATACTTTGCATTTATGTTATTTTTTATTTGTCACAACAATTGTGTGTTTTTTTTTGCTGCAATATTTTTAACCGACTACAAAAAAAGGAGGTTTCTCAATTCGATTATATATATTTTTTATGTGTGTTCGCGGATAACTTCGTCGTTTATTAAACGATTTTGATGATTCTTTTTTGTTGGAAAGGAGATATCCCAAGGGTAGTAACCACGATAAGGAAACCTGGATCCCAAGATGGCATCCCAGAGAAATCGAGGGCAATCCTCAAGTTAATAAATAAATAATAAATATTTTAGGACACATTTTTACACAACGTCCTCTAGTCCCAAACTAAGCAACGCTTGTACTATAGGTATAAAATAACTGATAAACATACTTTTCTATTTTTTTTTATTTTATTTTATGCCAAAAGTTGTCAAACGAGCAGACGGTTCACCTGATGTTAAGTGAATACCGCCGCCCATGGACATCTGCCACACACGAGGGTTACAGATGCGTTGACAACCCTTTGAAAATTGGGCTCCGGCTACCTCACTCACCAGACGAAACGCGAAAGTATTTGTCATACTTTCACTTTACGCTGGTCTTCTGTGAGGTCGTGGTACTTACCCGGACGGGCCTGCCCATTCGTGCAACAGCCAAGGCTGCTGCGTGGCCCTACCACCGTTAAAACCGTTCTTTTGTAAACAAATACATATTATTGATATATAAACATCCAGACACTAGAAAAACACTATGAGTAGTGAGGATCGAACCCACAGCCTCTGGCGCAGTAGGCAGGTACACTACCTACTACGCTATTCGGGTCGTCAAGTGTTATAGGTATTAACTATTTTTGAAGTAAAACTTCTTTAGGCGCGACTAGGGAGTAACTCAGATTTTTTCTGACGGAAGTAACGCTTTATCTGACGGAAGTAACGTCATAAGTATATGTCATATTTTAAAAATATGACATAAACTTATGACGTTACTAAATATTTAATCATTTCAGTGATATATGCCGTCAACGCCAAAGAAGTTTTACTTCAATCGCGCGTAAAGATTACACGCACACACTTTTTTTTTAGTTTCCCGTCTCAAGTAGGGTTTGTTTTATTATAGATTTCAACTTCGACCCACCTGCTTGGCGGCGGGCGCGTCGTCGGGCCTGAGCGCGTGCAGACGGCCCTCCTGCGAGTCGGCGAACGCGCGGACGGCGCTCGCCGCGTCCCGGTACCGCCGCCACAACTCCACCGCCTTCTGGTACCTGGCCAAGAGATCGCGCAGTGAAGTAACGGTCCATATAAGTCCCACTGCCGGGCGAAGCCTCTGTACTGGCCATGAGATCGCACTGTGAAGTAACAGCCTACACGTGTCCCACCGCTGGGCGACGCCTCTTTACTGGCCATGAGATCGCACAGTGAAGTAACAGTCCATGTAAGTCCCACTGCTGGGCGACGCCTCTTTACTGGCCATGAGATCGCACTGTTAAAGTAACAGCCTACACGTGTTCCACTGCTGGGCGAAGCCTCTTTACTGGCCATGAGATCGCGCAGTGAAGTAACAGTCCATATAAGTCCCACTGCTGGGCGAAGGTACAGGTCATGAGATCGTGCAGTTGAAGTAACAGCCTACACGTGTCCCACTGCTGGGCGAAGAATCTGTATTAGGGTGTAGTCCATCACGCGACCCCGCTACGCATCGGCGGACTCCAGATATCTTCGAAATATTTTTATTTCTCGTTATTATTTCGAAAACACGTTGGTTTCTTCGTCGCCCTTTTTAATTACTCACACAATATCAGTGTCATTGTACTATAATTTCAAATATCGACTGTTGGATGAGGTATATTCATTAACTTTGAAAAGTCAATTTTTTATTGGATTGGATTGAAGTATTAGGACATGGAAAGACTCTTGACGGGTAAGTTGATTAACACCGTGACCGTGTAGGCGTATCGAGTAATCTGACTATTCGTCAGCGTCTGATTAGTGACATTGACAATGACAATGATTTGTTTCTTTTGTGAGAAGTTTGCAGCGGCTCACCTGATGATATTTGCAACACCCGTAGGGTTGCAGATGCGTTGCCAACATTCAATAAAGCGGGCTGCGGTTACCTCACGCCAGACGCAACACACAAGTATAACACTTCCACTTCACGCCAGTCTCCCCCGGACGGACCTGCCCATTCGTGCAACAGCGAACTGTCGCGTGGCCCTAACACAGTTAATCGAATAATCCGTCTAATCTGACAATTTGTGAAAGCATCAGATTAGTCATAGCGGGGTGGAACTAGTGGGCTCACTTGGCGCACTTCTGGGCATGTGTGCTCGTAAGCGGCGGCCGCGTCGTAATTTCAAATATCGACTACATAAATGAGCTATCATTCACTTTTTAAAGTCAATTGTTTATTGGATTGGATCGGAATATTGCGACATGGAGAGATCTTTGACGGGCAAGTTGACTGACACCGTGACCGTGTAGGCGTATCGGGTAATCTGACCAATCATCGGCGTCAGATTAGTCAGATTGAGATGGACCTATTGGTGTGGCCGTGACGCTCACTTGTCGCACATCTGGGTGAGGTTTCGGCAGGTGTGCTCGTAGGCGGCGGCCGCGTCGTCCATCTCCCTCCTGAGCTGCGCCGCCACCGAGGGCTCCGCGGTGGACTCCAGCGGAGCGGCCGCCTCCCTCAGCTCGCCCACCAGCTCGCCGCTGCGCCGGGACAGCGACTCGCTCAGGGTCTGGTAGGGGACGATTCCAAGTTACAATTCAAAATGTATACTAGAAAGGGTTCGAAACGTCGGGAAATTAAACATCAAAATTGAAACGCGATAAAATCCGTAAACTAGTTTCATTTGACATGTACAATATACGGCTAAAATCAAGATCTAAGCGATACAAAGAAGTACATCACTACATAGTATAAAACAAAGTCGTCCCGCTGTCTGCCTTGTCCCTATGTATGCTTAGATCTTTATAACTACGCAACGGATCTTGATGCGGTTTTTTTTGCTAGATAGAGTGATTCACGAGGAAGGTTTATATGTATAATACATTGCACCCGAGCGAAGCCGGGGCGGGCCGCTAGTATTCACTAATTTCGTAACGCTTACCTCGAGTTTTTCCGTGGCCTTGAGCAGACGATCGTAGTCGACTTGGCCTTGAACAGTGAGCAGTTCCACCATGTAGTCGGCCTCTCGCACTGCCCCCTGGACGAGTTCCAGCTGCCTCTCGAACCGCTTCCACAGCTGAACCTTGGCCCGGAGCCGGGCGCAGAGGTCGTTGCAAGCAGCCTCGATTTCGGCGTGAGTCTCCTGTTGAGTCAAATCGAAATTGTTATAAGAAGTACGGCCAGCAACTGGACAAGTCGATTCGGCGATTCGGGGAGACGGTGGGTTTGATTCTCTGTTGACGGTAGCTTCAATGTCGAAGATCCAAACCTACGAAGTTGACAACTACTAGCAAATATTGTTTTTATACTGTTACAGTTTAACTGGCAGGCTCGACTGGTGAAGTACCACGAAAGAACAGTATGGGTGTTGCAGATTTGCATGGGTAGCGGGCACCACTTAACATCAAGTGAACCGCCAGCTTGCTTATCACCTTCTCACATAAAAAAGAAGTATATTATGGTATAAATTATGGTGTCTGATAAACCTTTTACCAGAATGTAAAGCCATAGTGGATCGTCGTAAACATACCACTGGTTATCGTATTCTACGATGCGGAATTTAAGAGACGCTAAAACTTGGAACAAGAGATATGCATGTTAAAATATCGCACTCGGTGGCGCAGTTCCTAAGGTATTGGCTCCGACACCGGGGTCGTGGGTTTGACTCCCACACGGGACACATATTTCTGTTACCCACGTGTGATTTCGTCAGGCAGCGGTCGTAAAATAAACCTAGTCAAAAGCATTTACAATATGATTTACATGTTATGGCGACTCCATTTAACTAAGGGCAGGAGGATGATGATGTATGATAAAATATATAATCTGTTAACAAATATACCTGGAGAGCTGATATGTCGCGTTCAATGCCAGTAGGTGATACGCAAACTCGTAGACTTATTGGCAGAGTGTGCAGCGCCTGTCGCAGGGTCAAGATGTCCCTCCATTGGGTCGCCAGGTCTTCCAGCAACCGCTGGCAGGTCTCCGACGCCTGTTCCACCACGTCGCTGCCCAGACGTTCGGCCGCCTCGCACTCCTCCAAGGTCAAACGGGCTCTCCGCTGATTCTTTTGGCAGCGGACGATACCAGCTTGCACTTGCACAATCTTCTCCTTCAGAATCAGGCTCCTCTCCAGCTCCTCCGCTATTTGGTCGTTTAAAGTTCCGGATTGCGTCAAAAGTGCTCCCAAACGCTCGGATTCTGCGTTCGGCAGTAAACTCAATCTGCCGAGTTCGTTTTGTATCCTGTCTATGCGGCCGGTCATCACCTGCAGCCTTTCTGTGTACAAATTGAGTTCGTCCTCGCTCTTAATGACGCCTTTCAGGCCGTCTAATGAGGATCTCAATTCTCTTATTTCTTCTTCGAGGATGTGTAGTTTTTCGCCAGATGAAACGTCGCGATCTGAGATATTCTGGATAGCCGTAGCATGTAAATCACTAAATCTCGAGGCTAAGTTGTGCCATTTCTCTTCAACCTTTGAGAAGAACTGACGTTGAACCATCTCGTCAGAAATTGGTAGTATTTCTAGGGCCTTTTCGAACTGAAGTCCAGATTCATTCTTAAGATTATGATGAACTTCATGCTGGGCCTTTAGTTCCCAAAATCGTCGTAAGTTCACTGTGGTTGTAATATTTTCCGGCGTTATATTCTCTAACTCCCTATTGGCTAGATTCATCCAGCTTTCAACTCTATTGATGAGGTGCTCGTATGTCATCCAGTTTTCTTTGAAGGCTCTTAACCTAGTTAATCTAGAATCAATATCGTCTTGAAGTGTTAGGAGAGTGTCAAGGGCTATTGAACACTGAGACTCTAATGCAGAGCAAATAATAAGATTTTGCAAACTCTCTGTAATAGATAAAAGGCGTAACATTTTCGCGTAATGATGAGAAACGTCTAAACTGATCGATTGGTAGAGGTTGATATATTGTTCGTGGTCAATTGATGTCACATTAGTAAGATCGGGAACTCTTTGGTGGGCAACGCGAAGCCATTGTTGTTCTTCTTTCATTCCGTGATCTAATACGCTCCATCTTGAAGCAGCCAACGTCATCTGTTGAGCGCGACCAGCCGCTCGGTCTATTATTTTTGTAGCTCTATCGTGAAGGGAATTGTGAAGCGATGAAAATTTAGCCCTTGTTTCAGCATCTAAATTATCTTCCAGAGACTCAAGGATGGCTCTGCAGTGGCTCAAATTGACAAAAAATTTTCTATGCTTCTGAATTTCCTCATGGAGATGGTCTAGATCGGATACAATAATTTTTCCGTCTAGTAAGGCTTCTGCTACATCCGTAATTTGTCCAAAATCTTGTAATGTTTGCTCATATTCTTCGGCTAGTGACATTAATTGCATAAGACGATCTCGTTCAGTATTTATAGAGTTTTCGATTTGCTTTGTGTCCTCGTCACAAGTGTACAATTTTGATGGACATTCTCGTTTAGGATTCGCTTCTACTATACTACGGAATCTTCGGAACAATTTTCGAACCATATCGGTGTTGTCAATGTTATCCGTCTCAACTTTATCAAGTTCGTCCAGCTTTTGCTGTACAGACAATTCTGAAATAATCATATTGTCCAGACGTGATTTTGCTCTTTCTACGGATTGGCTTAAATTATCGGTATCATATAAAAATTTGCTCCATTCTTTTTCTACTTCTTTAACTTTCATTGAGCTTTGATTACTTAAGTTATTAACTGCATCCACTTGACGAGTTAATGTTTCTATTAAAGTTATTATTTCTTCACAAACTTCCGTTACACATATAATTTCCTTGATATTGCGAATATAGTTCAGCAACTCTTTTACACATTCTGTCTTATCACTTACTTTATTTCCAGTCACTGTTTCTATTTGTATTTTGTATTGGATTTCTTCTAACCAAATTGAAATTGTTTCTATTACAACAACAACACTTTTTTCTATCTTGTTTGGATCCCTATTCTCTACTGCTTTCTTCAATTCATCTATTTCTTTATTTATTATGAGATCATAAGACTTTTCCATTGACGATTCGATTAAGGCCACGGCCATTGTTTCTGTTGGTGAATTTTGCCGCGGTTCAATGACAGATTGTGTGCGCTTTTCCAGTGAATCAATAAGTTTCGCTTTTTCAGATTTTCTCGGAAGAGTAATACTTTTACTGGGTGAAGGAGATTTAGATTTTGATCTTTGTACGACATCAGAATACGTTAGTTTCGGTTGAGTGACAATTTGATCACTAATCGGTACAACTGGACTCACTATTTGAGATATTCCTTCGTCTATCGAAGTTGTTTCTTTACTAGATAAATCATCACTAGTAGGAGTAACTGAAAGGGAAAGTTCAGCGTTAATAGGATCCGAAAGACTTCCTGGAGATTGTAAGGGGGACTCTGTTTTCTTTTTTGATCTACGTTTCTTTTGTTTTGATTTGTCACTTATAATTGATTGAGGGGATTCTTGTATTTGCCGCTCATTGTTAATAAAGTCATCTGTTACTTGAGGAATAGATATTTGGGCCCTGAGATGTATTTCATAAGGTTCATCGGTAGAAGTCGACATCGAATCGTCCGAAAATATTCGTGGAGATGTCTGTTGCATGGTATCGACAATGTTTGATTTTCTATTTATATTCAAAATATTTTCTTCTGTATCACTTCTAGGCGACGTCTGCTGAATTTTATCATATGCTGTAACTTGGTCTACTTCAGTTTGGCCCAATTCTTCTGTATTAGGTCTCGGAGAAGTTTGTTGACTGTTTTCAACTTTAAGAACATCTTGAGGTAAATGTTCCATAGAGGATGGTAAAGGTTCCCCTTCTCTTGGTGACGTTTGTTGTGACACGTCTGTTGTCACAGTTTCTTGTTTTTTAATTTCAATTTGGGGCAAATTTAATTCATCATCTGGTTGCACACGAGCTTCATTCTGTAAATTCTTTTCATGCTCTTCTTCGATTTGAGTAAAAACACTAACTTGAGAAATCTCCGGTGTTTGAATACTTATTTCAGTGACATCTTTCATTTGTATCGGCGTAGTGGATGTTTCTTTGTCAATACTTTCAGGATAAATGGTTTGGATGTCCGTGTCCTTAGTCTCGATATTAAATTCATCGCTTTTTTTATCTTGTACCTGCAACATTGGAGAAGTCTGAATGTCACGAGATTCCATTACAACAGGTAATATTTCTTCTTCTGTAACCTTTTGCTGATCATTTATGGGTGATGTTTGAGAACACTTTTCTTCTAGATACGTAATATCATCAGAAACGACTTGAGTCGTAGCTTCCGTTTGTAAAACCACATCCGGAGTGTCTATTCTGTTCGTTTGTATTTGAGAGTCTTGTACATCTACTGTAGCTAAAATAGTTTGAGTACATTCTTCTTTTTCCTCTTTAGGTAAAGTTTGTACAAAAATATTGTCAATAGGCTTAGGAGAAGTTTGTAATTCACTGTCGGTAGTTTCCACTGCAGGTTTTTTATATTTTACCTCAGAATCCACCTGCTCGGTAACAATATCAGGTGAAGTTTGTACTGAATATTCTTGTGTAATAATTTCCTCTACCACCGGCACAGTGTATGTGATAGTCGTTGCAATGTCATTTTGTGCCATCTCTGGAGTTCGTGTAACACACTCTTCTATGATTTTGACGGTACTTACGTCTGAGCCTTCACTGATGGTATGGTATGACTCTTCTATAGGCGAACTAGTAGTTACTTCTTTACTTAATTCAGTTTTTATAATAGGTTTAGCACCCAACTCTTCTGAAGTCTGTTCAAGTGTCAGTTTTTGTTCTTCCTTTTCTACTACATGTTCTTTTAAATTCCTAACAATATCGTCACTTTCAGTCGGTGTTGACATCAGTGTTTCATCTTCCGTAGTGGCACTCCATTTTGGATATGTAGTATCTTCACTTAGGACTTGTGCTTTACGTTTTTTGTGCCGCTTCTTTTTATCAGGTAGAGGAGTAGGACATAGAGATACATCCTCTGCTTCATATCCTTTATCTTCTGAAACCGTATCCACTTGAATGGGAGTCGTTTCAACCTCAGATGTATGTAAAATATTGGTTTGCAATAAATTTTCTGTCGGTTTTGGAGATTCAATTTCAGGTGAAACCGGAAGCTCCACATAATGGCTTAATGATGAACTTTCTGTAGTATCAAAAGTTTTATCAGTTTCTGTTTTTATTGAGTCACTACATTCTGAAGTAGATTTTTGTTTTTTATTCTTTTTAGGCTTCTTCCGAACCCTATCCTTTTCTTTAGGAATGGTTTGCTGACTTGTTAGATATTCTGTTTGAGTATCGATAATTGATGTTTCTTTGGGAAACTGGTCTTTTGGGATTTCGTGTGTAATATTTACATTTACAGGAAGTTTCACATCGATATCTCTCTTCACTACAGTAGGAGTTTGAGACTCAAAGTTTTCAATTTTTGTATCAAACTGTATACTAGGTACTGTTTCACTCCAGTTATTATCGTTCTTTTCTAAGGACATAGAAATATTAATCGTTTGAGAAACTTTTTCAGTAAGATTGTCTTTAGGTTCACTGTCAGCTTTCAATTTTAATGAATTACGTATATCCGTATCATGACGTTCTAAATCGATGAATGTAGAAACATCATTATTATCAATTAAAGACGATGAAATTGTGTTACTTAATGGTTCAATAGAAGTACTAGTTTGTTCTAAAATATTTGAATCTGAGGGTATTGGCACGTCTGGTTCAAATTGCGTTATGTAGGATACTTCTGGCGATGCAGGTTGTGTGCTTCTATCAGATTCTGTAACAACAGATTCAGCGTGTAGTTGTTTCACATCAACAGCTGACTGAGTTACAGATGTATCTATTACCATGTGACCAAGTAATTGTTCTTTGTTAATGGTTTCGTCTAATTTTGTTTTGAAAGAAGGTTCTGGGCTGCAGTTCTGGGCATCTGGCTGCTGGGTTGTTACTGTTTTATTTAATTCAACGCTTTGTTCCCGATCAGGTTCAATTGTTGACGCAATTTCAACAACTTCAAGAACTTTCTCATTACTCTTCGAGGTAGTTTTAATGGGATCTATTTTTTCGTCCAAAATTATCCCGTCAGTTTTTTGGGAACTTCTCTCAGATTGAATATTCGGTTTACATATTTTTGGTGAATGCAACAATTGAGAGGTATGATAAGTTTCACTGTCCATTAGATCCTTTGTCTTGTTAATATCGAATTCAGACTTGCCGTTTTTAGAGTCTTGTAGCTCATATTTAAAATCTATTGAATCATTTTCTGTAAATTGTTTTATTTCTTTAACTGGGACATCGACTTCAGGTATTAAAGTGGACGCAGGTTCATCAGTCACAGATTTAATATTTTGTTCAATAATCAGTTTTTCCCTATTTATTAAATCAAAACCGCTCGGATCAGGACAGATTATTGCATGTTGATCTTTAGTTTTATCGACTTTATCAAGACTTTTGTTCAAATCACATATATCTGAGTTACGTTCTTTAACCGGGCTTACATTTTTGGATATATCTTTTGTTAAAACTTTTTGTTTTTGGTCGTTTAATAAGACACTTTCTTCATTCTCATCGGTCGTTGTCAAGTCTTTGGAAGCAAGGGATTTTAATTGGGAACACGATGATAATTTCTCTTCTTGTTCAATTTGAGTTCTTTCTATACCTTCTTTTTCTTCTGATTCATTAGGGAGTTGTTTAAGTTCAGTTTTAACTGTATCAATTAAAACAGATTTACTTTTTTCTTCGCTTTGCACACTACTTATACCTTTATCTTCTATGCCTTTTGCAACTTCTGTTTCGTCTTTTAGATGACTGGAATCATAAATAGAAATATTTTTATTTGGTTCTGCCTGTTGTTTCTTAATGATGTCTTGAGACACGAATGAATGCTCAACTTCAAATCCTATGAATGATTTTGTAGCTTCAAGAAGAGAAATATCTTTGGCCGCATTAGCATTTACTACATTTTTATATTCTTCGGATTGTGGTTCTTCGTGCTTAACTGGATCTTGAGAAGTAAGAATATTTTCCACATTCGTAGGAAGATTTTTGCTCTCACTGATTATTATTTGTGTTGTCATGTTCATTGGAGGAGTACTCTCAAACAACGAAGATTTTTGTAAATCTGAATCAATGTGTTCTTTTTCACATTTGATACCCATTTCTTCCACCGTATTGCTATGTGTTTGAGGCAAAGTAGCTTGATCAATTTCACTAGAAAGTAGTGTTTTTGTAACTTCAATTGAGACATTTTTTTGGCGTTCATTTTCATTCTTTGCAATGGAAGATAAAGGAAGATTATCGCTAATAGCGACGTGTTCTAATACAGTAGGATATTCTGCTGGCTTATCGAAAACGACATCCGCTAAAGATACTTTTGCTTCAGATACAGTTTCAGTGGAACGAGCATTCTTATCAATCCCTTCTTCAGTATCTTTTTCAGATTGCTGCATAAAAGGTTTTTCTAGTTTTGGGCCAGTGAACGCATTTCCATCCTTAGCGCTGATTAACTTCTCAGTAACCATAGATGGAGTTTGCTCCTCAGCCTTATGTGGATCAGTTTCCCTTGATGCTGGAGGAGTCTTATTAGTTTCCACTTTTTCTGGTATTTCTTCATAGCCACCGGAGATAGAAGGCGCTTCTTCGCCAGAAGATATGATATGAGCTAATTCCACGCTTAAATTTTTAGATTTGGTATTAAATTGATCAACTATTTCTTCACCCGCATTGGTCTGGATTGGGAATGTTATGGCTTTTTCTTCTTCTAGAGCGTCATTTGTGCATGATGAATCATGTAACACTAATGAATGGCGAATTTGATCTTCTATAAATCCTTTTGAGACATCAATGGCGGTACGCATTTGTTGTAAATCAGTGTTTAATAAATTATCCACTGATTCTTTCCGACCATATTTTTCTTCATGGACCTCAGATTCTTTAAATGGGTGCGGTAATTCACTAATTTTAACGTCAATTTCAGCTTTTATGGTAGAATCAGGTATATATTCATCTCCTGAGTTTTCTACTATTTGTTCAGTAACATTTTCTTTACCATCAATTATTTGAACATTTCTTATTATTTTTAGATGTTTAGTTTTAATACCTTCTTCTTGAAGAGTAAACGTTGTAGGTTCTGTCAATATTGTTTCGACCTCTACAGGCTCTTCTATAATCTCTTCCGTTATATGTTCCTTCCCATCGACTATCTCAATATGTTTAATAATTCGTTTTCTAGTTATTTCACTTGTAGTTCTATTTCTGAGTGTGTTAATACCTTCATTTGAAATACACGGCACTGAAATTATATTATAATCTGTAACTAATTCATTGTCATTCGAGCCAATTTCTTTTTGTATATCTCTATCTACTAAATCTGTTAATGTTTTTTGTTTTTCTTCTAGTTTGTCTTCATTATCATTTTTTTTCTCAGGTTTAGCGAAAGACTCGTTGAATAATTCTATTTTTGGCTGGGTCTCTTCTTTTTGGATAGGTGATTTTGACATTACATTATAGTCGATTTCATGCCGAATCATATTCGATGTTAGATCCGTCTGGCTTTCATCCGTGTCAATTGTTTGAGACGAGGATATTTTGATCGGTTCATGTTTTTCTATTGTTCTTTCTTCAATATTAGGATCAATTATAGTTACTGGATCGTTAGTATTCATTTCATCCCCCTCTTCTATTACTTTTTCTGTAACATACTCTTTACCATCAACTATTTGAACTTGTCTTAGAAGTTTAACTTTATTCATTTTAATGTCTTCACCAGTACTAGTGTGTGTTATTACAGGGTCTTCTTCAATTATTTCGATATCATCTGGTTCTTCAATTACTTCTTCTGTAACGTGTTCTTTGCCATCAATAATTTGTATATGCTTAATGATGCGTTTTCTTGTTCTAGTAATTTTTCGCGTTACCGTTTTTGTAACAGTAGAGCAATGAGAAGACGAAGATTCCAATTGTGTAATTTCCTCACCAGTTGGCGACAAAATATTTTCACCTTGTGAATCCAACTGTTGTATCACATTTTGTACTGGTTCCAAATGAGTCTCCTCGGGTTTATTATTTTTTATAAATAGTTGAGAGGTAATTTTACGTTCTTCATCATCGTACACCGTAGATTTTGGTGAAACTTCATCATTTTCAGAAATGTCATTTGATTTACTGTGTCTAGAACCTTGTTCCTCATCCTTCACAACTTGTTCTTTTATCTCATCTGCGCAGAATGGTTGCTTTTTATCGTCATCATCGGAATCACTTTTTTCTGTAGGAATACTTCTTTCTTTAACACTAATGGAAACTCTAGGTATTTGTTCTTCAAACACTTCAACATCATCAGGTTCTTCTATAATTTCATCAGTTGTGTGTTCTTTACCATCAATAATGACTACGCGACGAATGATACGTCTTTTAGTTTTAATAATCCTCTTAGTAATTTGTTCAACAACGGCTGTTACACTAGAAGAAGTTTGAACGTGCGGTTGCATTTCTCCTTCTGCTAATTGTAATATTTGTTCTGGGCTCATATCTTTTTCCACATTCAGGATCATTTCTGGCTTAGACGTAAATTCTTGAACTGTCATTTCTCTTCCTGGAAGCCCTGATATAACCTGGCCTTCATATGTTTGATATTGCACATTTTGCAATGCACCATCACCTAAAATCGTTGAAGCAGAACCTCCATCTTTTTTCAATGTTATTTGTTGGTAAGATTGTTCATGTGGTATACCTTCTTCAGATGATTGAACCATTTGCTGTCTTGTGACGAATGTTCTTCTTATTTTCTTTACAATAATCCTCCTTGTGCCATCAGCATCCACCACAATCTCTGTGGTAGTTTCGTCAGGTTCCACCATTACTGTCTCAAATGATTGGGGTATACTGTGTGTTATATTGAGTTCCGAGTTTTTGCGTGAGTTATCGTCCTTATAATCAGCACCAACTAGAAGTGAAGTCTCGTTAGCTGGTTCTTCCCTGACGACAGGTCGACTGGATATAATGATTGTTTCATGACCATCAGATACTGTCTGCTTCACTTGTATATTTTCAAACAGTTCTCTATCTGGTGATTTTCGTTCACTTGTTTGTACGTCCACATCTTGAGGTGGAGCACAAGTTAAAGAAACATCATGCGTTTCTTTAACTTCTGGTACGCATATTACTGATTTGTCATGCAAAGATGGATTATCAGACATCAAACTTTTTCCAGTTTGAGTGTCTACTGCAACTGTTTTCTTACATTCCTTAATCTTTTCATCGTACACTTCATCAATCTTAGTTTTCATTTCATGTTCAGTTTCAAAACTTGTATCACTTTCAGGTACAAATATAATAGGAGATGACTTCTCGATTGGTGTTTCTTCAATAACCTGAGTTTCCCTAGGAGATACAATCTCCTCCGGCATTGAAGTAGAATCTATTGTTCTGTCACTCTGGGAGATTTCTTCCTCGACAACTTCCGGTGTGAACTTAATATTAATTAAAATTTTTCTCAATCTTTCTATTTCAGAAATGACTAGATACTTTGATTTTTCCAATGCCCGTCTTAATGCATTCAACTTGATCAGCGTTGACTGACTAGATTCGTCATGACCTATCACAGTAATGGAATTTAGAATTATTTCATATTCTTCGTATTCTCTAACATAGCGCTCATAAATTTCAATGTATTTTACAATATCTTCTTCGGTAAGAACATTTCCTTGTTTGGTAGTTTCATTGAGTTCGGTGTTAATTACATCAAGCCAAGTGTCGACTTTCGTTAGTTGTTTCTTCTGTTCCTCAAGTTGTTTAGATTGATGTTCTATTTCAACCCGCGCGTCCTGAAAGTTAAACGTGATTTTAATAGCATAAATAATATGTTAAGAAGTAACGAATGTACACATTTAAACAGTAGATTACCTTTCTTACCTTGATGGTTTGAAGACCCTGTCGTGCTTGTGTTAGTAGTTTTGCTATCCTTGTTTTCATAATTATCAGCTCTTTTAGCAATACCTGGACTTCAGTCTCATAATCGTACTCCATTATCTTCTGTTCGAGCAGAATCGCTGCTTCTTCGCACTTGACTAGAACAGCTATACCCTCCTGTAAATTATAGCATGTTTGTTTTACGTTTCACTATCTACATTATTTCTTATTTATATTAATTTCTTTTTAATTTGAAAATGTGTCAAACAAGCAGGCGGTTAACCTGACGTTAAGTGATATCCACCGCCCACGGATGTCTATAAAACCTGAAGGGTTAAAGATGCGTTGCCAACCTATTACAAAATTTCACCCCGATTACCTAGCGAAAATTCGATACTTCCACTTCCCTTCAGTCTTCTGTAGGGCGGGGATATTGGCACGAATGGTCAAAAACTATGTTACAACATTATAAATGAACGAATGCAAGTAAATACAAGAAATTATATGTTATAACAATCAATTATGTATGTAGTTTCTTTGATACATCGAAATTAATTTATATGCAGCATAATATTCAAGGAACGAAGAATAATACATATACATACATAATAATACATATACATACTCGCGTTATATACATTATATAATACCGATAAAGTAATAATACAGCTTTATCAACTTCTAAAATAGTGATGACGTTATGGTAAACAAAAGCTTAAATTAGAAATGACAAGTTCTGTTATATTATCTAACAGATTTTGCAGCGGATTATTAACGGCATTCACGAGAAACATTATAGCAATAACTTACGAAGAAATGGTTCGAAGATAAAGTTAAATTTATAGTACAATGGCGCTTAATTATTTGTGACATATCATATGCGACTCGTGATTCAGTTCAACTGAATTACATACAATTAACAGTTATATTTTATCAGTGTTAAAAATAGATAGTTCATCTATTTTTTATTCTTCCAAATTTCCTAAAGAAAAAATAAATTTCGTAAAATCCTGTTTTGTTATCAAAAAATAAGTTAAATTTATGATGAAATAAAATCTTCACATAAAAGTTCTATGCCTCTTATTAAATAGTTTCTTCGTTTTAAATGCTTGGCTTACAGAAGCCCACAAATAACATTTAATGTTTGAGTAGTAATAGATTATAATGTTTTATGGGCGTTTTAAATTCACGACCTTCTTTGTGTCAAATTGGTTACGGCCGAGTCCAGAAATATATAAGTATATAGAACCACAATTTACAAGTAGAAGAAAAATACTCCCTTTAAAATAAGGCGCTTATGTAAATCTCTTATTTAATTCAATGAAATCGAGCTGAGCTGGGATTTTGATAAAAAACGAAATCCACTTCCTAAATGTGATCCGAGTTGTGTGGTTCGAATTCAATGTTTTTAAATTATTTCGGATTTGTTACGTACGAAAAATGACATCTGACATACGATGTACAAGCGATATGCTCACTATCAGTCATGATTCGAGACGTAACTACGATTGATTAAGCTCGGATGGCACTGACTATTTAGATATTTTGATGCAATTTAAATGAGCTAAAGGCGATTTTCTTCAAATAATCGTGCAATGAAAGTTGGTTATCTTGAAAATTGCAAGCCTCATGCCGCATACACTTCAGAGTCAAGTAATTTTGTGCTCTTAAACTGCCTCTACCACAACCAATTGGCACTTATACGATAATATAAGTTGATTTATTTCAAGAAAACCGTTTAAATAATCTATGTCATATGTATAAAAAACACTTAATTTTTCTATAAAAAAAAAGAGGATTACGCCGACGTCCGAATTTATTTTTACCAAGTGGTCACGATAACTCCCGTAAGAATGGAAGTATCGAGACAGGGTTTTGTTTATTATCTTCAGGATAACATCAATTATTTATCTATTTAATATTATATATAATAGCCTAGTACGCGTAGTTTTCATATTCGAATTTTGTTAAATAGTCTAAAGAATAAATACAAGTCAATGGTAGGACTTTTTTTCTCAAAAATTAAATGAGATTTTTTAAACTTTTTTGACAATTTATTGTGCGCATGCACGTAAGATCCTTCTTACACTGTTTCGAGGATTATCACGATGTTGCTTTCCCCGGTGATACGCGAAATAACGATCCGATATTCCAATTTCGAAACACCACCAAGCAGTAAACCGTTTTCAAGTATCGTTTCGTTTATCTCCGGCCGACATTCACTATGAAACGATGTATCGCACTCCCCCGGCGCACTGTACAACTGTTTCGTTGGATATTCGCACGCGTCAAAAGCAATCCAGCCGTCCACTGTCGGTTCGTGAGTGTTCGTTCGGTCGCCCAGCCTAAACTAACGCCTGATGATGCCAAACAAGTGCGGTTTATTATTAACGCGGATGTCGCAATGGTCGGGCTAGTGCACGGTGACATCATCGACGAGCGAAACTCATCACGGCCCGAAGCCGCGGCCAACGTAAACATGCCTGCACCCGCGTGAGTCAGGTGGCCGTTGGAACATCAGGGGCGAAGGCCTCCTCGGCTAGACTATGTCACTAGGTAACGTATCCTGACGATATTATGTGAGGGTCTCGGCAGAGGGTCCACCTGCCCTCCCTCGTTTAGACTAAAGGTGTGTACCGAAATAAACGCTCTGGGATTTAACTTAAAGACTATAAATATCGAGATATTTATCGCTATCCGAGATTTAAAGAGCTGATTTGATTTAATGTTACTCCCAACGTTAGAGATTGTGGGTCAGCTTAAGTATTTCACAGACGAGAGGCAGTATAAAATAATATAACAAAACTCGAAAAAGAAAATGTTTACGAATAAAAAACGAAAAAGTTAACATCGAATTTTATATTCAAGACCACAGACAGCTATTCTAAAGTCCCCTAATTTCCCAGTGCCATTACTGAGCTCTTAGGAATATATTTCTCTCAATCTAATATAATATCTCTTCAATATAATAAATGTCCTGAGTTGCATAATCTTATCCAGAAGAATAATATCCAATTCTAACAATAAATCAGACGCGCAATTTCGTTTTTAATGAATCATTGACATCTGCTATGGCCGAGAGATTGTTGACATACCCAAATTGCGGGCAAATAAATATCATGCATACTTCAAAGACATTTTACATGTATTTCATCACGTCTTTATTTTAAATACAAAATCCAATTCGGATATTGAAACGTAACTTAAAACAACATCGCATCAGTCTTGGGACATATCACAATAAAGCAGGAGTAATAAAATAATATCAAAAAGTTAATTCTCCAGAACTGTGTGATTCATTTATTACAGAATGATAGAAAAACACGTTAAGGAGTTTCATACTGTCGTCGTGGTAATAATTCTAGTTTTGTTTACGCTGACACAATGTATATGAGTGAAGCGTGTGAGCTTTATAATAGCTTTTAATAATGTTGTATTAACACAAATGTTCTAAACGATCTATGCATAGGGGATTAGTTACTTGAAAAAAATATTACCACTAGTCGCTTATGATCACACATATTGGCGTTCGCGTGTTCTAATACTAATGATGGCAAGCGAAAATTAAAGGAACGTGAATCTTTGATGAGTCTGAGAACAAATCGTCCAACTAGGGCCATTGCCGTGTGCAAATAAGTACTGAAAGGCTACATACCACCAGGCCAGCTTCCATCGCGTCCAGGGTTTCATTGGGGAGATCCGAGAGCTGGGCTTGAACAATCCTGACCTCCTCGAGTAGCGTTTCAAGATTGTTAGACAATTCATCCTGAGGACACACGGGTGCATTAGTCGAACCGCTCTCCGTTTGCAAACGCACGTGGAATTTTAAAACGCTGGTTAATCCGTTTAATATTGAAAGAGATCATCATTAATTTATTTCTCTTTTGTCTACGTCCCCAAAGTTAAAATTTATTTGTTCAATTAGGGTTCGTTTTCGCTATTATGTCAATTTAGCCAGCTGTCTATGAAATTCCACGTCGTGTTTACGAACTAGCAGGGAAAACCACATCGGCATTCCGGATGCAGGGTACAACGGCCGGAATTGATTCGTTTCAGAGTGAAATTCTAAGCAATGCTCTGTAACGGTTGAGAGGATTTTCGACTTTGAGGCGAATCAAGCACCGGCCGACGTTAGCAGCACAGTAAACAACATCGAAAACTTAAACGTTAGGAAACTTTAACGCTGGCATTGCATGCTTTTTGGGACCTTTAACACTACAGGCTCTCACAACACTTAAAGCCAGTCATGTGGGGATTATGCCTCGATGTTTATAGTCAGGATGTATGCAATAACATGACTTTATATTGAAAAGGATTTAAAACGACATCCATAATTTTTGCAGGAATAACAAATATACTGTAATAGAATTTCAAAATTAATGTTGTATCTAAGTGATTTATTAAATTAGTTCAGCGTGCTGTAAAGCCTTGTGAACAAATAAATCGCATTGCCAAGCTAACATGTACTTTAATGGATTCTTTTTTTATATTTATCTCTGATACGGAAATTCTGTTCGTTGATATAAAACAATAATTTTATAGAATGGAAAAGTTTATCACTTTAACAGTGCTATTGTAACATGGGATAACTAAATCTACGTTCATTCCATATAATTTTCGATAAAGGGTAAAAAGGGTACCAAATTACATCATATACACTGACTAACCTCATCCAGAACTGTTCACTACATTATACGTAATGCGACCCAAATGTCTCAAGACAGCTTGATCCTTCCATCAATATCTTTAAAGCAAATTTAAGACATCTAAAAATAAATCCATTTAAAGCAACCTCTTCGTCGATCGTCTCGTAGTGGCCAATACTTGGTAATCATACTAAATTTAATACGGGGAGGTGTTTATCGTAACACGTGAAAAATAAAAGAAGACGATATTTGAACATGTATTTATTTTTATTACAACCAGATATCTGATTCGTAAAATAATATCGTTAGTAGTGAATGACTAGACATGACTAGATTTTAGTGAATTGCACACAAATATCTATAATAAATTACTATTGACTACTTTAAACGTGTTTGGTGTAATGTGGTACGGTGCTTGCCAATTCTTGGCACTACAAGACGAGCGGCGAGTTCTGCAGGCGACGCTTTACGACAATTAATCTCGAAATAAGTGTGATGAATAAATTCGTTATGAATTCATGCCAAACATTAAATAAATATCGAAAAAAAGTACAATACGACTGTAGCTCGTTCACCTTGGCTGTCGTCCGGTTTCCGGATTCTTCTGGCGCCGGCTCCTGTTCAGGTGGGAGGAAGGCAACTGGTTCTAGGGATGGGTTGGTTAGTTTATCCTCTGGCATGTCGATACCTACGCGAGGCGTATCCTCGCTTAGCTGACCAATCAACGAATCGCATGGTGTTTCTAAACTCAAATAAGAACTGTGATCTTTCCAACTACATATACCGCCGGGCAGATCCATAGATATATAGTTAGAGTCAAACGGTGAACCGCTCGACTCTGGTGGTTCGTCCATTTCAGAAGAGTGCCCGGATCCACCTCCGGGATCTTTGTCTTTATCTTTTTTGTCCGTAATTTCAATTTCAATGTTGGCCATAACTTGTTGTTTTGCGCTATTAGCCAACCGGAAGAAATAGTCACATTCCGCGTCGTGATACAAATGTTTTTCAGGCCAAAATGTTGTGTCTTTAATAAGATTTTTCGGGATGTTATCGTGTAAGGGAGTGGATTCCATAAAAGTTACAACGCTTTGACATTCTTGCACTAACGGAGGTTCGAATGTATCCGAATTGGAAATGTTTTGTTCAACGAGAAGTTTTTCTGCGTCATCGGTTGCCGCCTTCTCAAACCAAAAAGTGTCTAATTTTATGTTAATGAAATTGTTAGTAATGGCTTTAGGTGAAATGTTAGTCGTTAGGGAATCTACACCTTTAAATTGTTCCGTATCGAGTTTTTGGTCTATCTTTATATCTTTAACAGAAGTTACTTCTGGTACGTCTAAATCGGTATTAGGGTTTAATATTTTGTTTTCAACACCTTTCAAAGCAAATACGGTTTCTTTCAACACAGTACTATCAGTTTGAGTTATATCTTCCGGTTCAGGCGAAGCGAGACACGGCGTAATATTTTCAAACGTTTCGTCGTGTTGATCATCTAATGATGCGTGTGTATCTACTAATTCTTGAGGTGTATCATCGCTCGCTATCGATGCTTCATTTTCAGGGAGCAACATTTCTTCTATTTCTCTTTGCAAATCAGCCATCTTATTTTCCAAAGATTGTTCGTCAAATATTCTTTGCTCTTGAATCTTTACTGAATTTTCTGCTGCAGGGCTCACATTACCTTCTTTCTCATTTAAAATGTTATGAAGATTTTGTATAATAGTGTTGTTTATTTCAATACTATCATTGTTTTGTGGCGATTGCTCTACCTTGAATACTATATTTTCATATTTATTTAAGCAATTTTCATCTATTTCTACAGTAAGGATCTCAGGCGAATTTGAAATATCAATAAGACTGGGATCTATTTTCCAATATTGAGCTTCTGAATAAACTCTGTCTTTAATTGGTGTTTCTAGAGATTCCGGAGTTGAAATTGGAGTTTCTAAACATTTTATTGAAGTTATAGGCGTGTTAGATTTTATGTATTCTTGTTCAGAAGATGTGTTTTCAAATGAGGATGGTGTTTCAGTTGTCATTATTACTTTCTTTTCTTTCTTTTTCTTTTTGGTTTTTCTTTTATTTTCTACTTCAATATCATGAGAAAGTTGAATCGGCGCTTCTTGTTTTAGTGATTCTGGTTGTACTTCTTTAATTTCCTGTAATGTTTCTATGGACTCAGTTGCTAGAGGCTTGCTTATTATTTTTTCTTTCGATTTTGATGATCGTTTCCTTTTATCTTTCTTTACAGGTTGTTTTTCTTCATCGGATGTACTAGGGGCTATTAGCACTGCTTTTGGTTTCATTTCTTTTTCTTTAGATTTGGATACACGACTCTTTCTCCCTCTTTTTGCTTGGTCTTTCATTTCTTGGTTGTTTTTCTCTTCGTCTTTTTCATCATTAGAATGGCTACTTTGTATTGAATCACCATCATCGGGTTTTAATGTACTCGTCAGGGCAATAAATCTATTCTCAGATTTTTCACGCACTTTAATTTTTGGTTCAGTGTTGGATATTGAAGCTGAACGATTGTCTCTAGACCTAGATCTTGAACGTCTATTTCGGTCAACTTTTATAAAGCCTTCAGCATCTACTTCAATTTCAGGCTTGTGGTGTTCTGAATCAGAGTCATCAACTAAAATTATGGGAGCTCTTGTTGTAGTATGTACCGGTTCAACTGTATGCACTACATTTTTCTGAGTTCTTTCTGGCGATGGTCGATTCGATGCAACAATTTTTGCCCAAGAACCAACTACTTCATAACTACCAGCTTCCTCTAGTGTGTCAAGAGAATCATTATCTTTATTTTGCGATACATCATCATCTGTTCTAGGAGGATCACTTGAAATTATAACATCCGTATCTTGTACATTTGGCAGTATTGATTCTTTACACTCACTATCAGTTAAGCCTGCAGCTAAAACTTTGGCATAGGATTTACCATCATCTGCTTCTTTTATCCAAACGTTTTCAGTGCAGCTTGTATCTGATTGTTCTTGACGGTCATCAGAAATCGACACATTTGATAAGTCCATTTCGCCAAGCATTACAGGGGTTTCAGGTCTTTCTTTTTTATCCTCCTTCTTCTTTTTCTTTTTGCTTCGTTTTGTTTTAGTATCAATGCTTTCCTGATTGGATGCCGCAAGATTACATGCCATATCCATTCCATGAGATTCATCATCTTTGCTCACATCATCAGGAAGTATTTTTTCTTTCTTTGTAGTAAGAATTGAAGAATAAGTTAATGGTTTAACTTCTTGTTCATCTTTTTGAAGACTATCTTGCTTATCAGAAAATAGTAACTTTTCAGTATCAACTATTACACATTTAGGCATAGGGTCAGGTGTTTGATACATATAAGAAGGTGTAAATTCAGGTGCGTCTGCAGATAGTTTTGAATTAAGTACAGTAGTTGAAAAGGATGGCTTAAACTCAGGTATGGAATCAATTTCCGGGAGAAGGTCATGTAAACTATGGATTGGTGATTTTTCAAGTCGGTTAATAGTTTTTTTATCAGGCAAGGTAGATTCATTTGGTTTGAAATCACTCGCTAAATTTGTTGAATCTAAATTTATGTATGAGTCCGTACTTGTTGCGTTACTGGGATGTCCAAGCGTATCGTCAACATTAAAAGTATTAGTACAGCTGGAGGAAGATATTTCGGGTTCGATTAATTCCGCCGAGATAGTTTCAGGCAAAGTTGGAGGTTCCGATGATTCAGACAGGGCGTCTTTTTGATTTTTGACGATGTCTTCCTGTGTTTCAAGTACTATTTCCTTAGAGGAAACATCAATGTTTTCTGAGTTTTGAATACCATGAAGACTAGAATGTGGGAACTCCTCTTCAGATATTTTTTCTCCTTTCTCATCAATCGGACTATTGATTGCAATTGAAATATCCTTTTCAATTTCGATAACTTCAAAAGAGTGTTCAAAGTCAAGATCTTCCATTATATTTTTATCAGTATTCAAAACTTGAGAATCAAATTTCTCATTTTTCTTTTCAATGTAAGGCACCTCAATTTCATCCATATCTTCTATGACAACAAAATCATCCATAACGTCCTCATTTTCTACCTGTTCAGCAGTTTCCACTTGAACGGGGTCGTTCTTTGTATGTTCTTCCTTTTTTAATGCGTCTCTTTCTAATGCAAATTGCGTTACTTCAGTTATGTCACCAAACACAATAGGTATCAGTGAACTAGTAGTTTCCGGTTCTACTGGGATTTCGAATTGTCGATTAGTAGTTTCGTCTAAAACATTTATTTCCGAATCTAGTATTTCACCATCGTTCGGTTTATCACTTGTGTCACATGTATCTCTAGGACATAAATTATGAGCAAATTGGTGAACATCTCCGGCAGAAAGTAAATATTTATCATCAGCTTCTTTGGTGCCTTCGCCTAAATTCTCTTTACTTTCTTCTGTAGGGACAGGAAGTGAAAAGTTTGTAGAAATGCGACCAAGAATACGCTCTGCTTCACATAATTCCATATAGTTATGATTCAATGCCTCATAAATAACGTTTTCTGATTTGTTTATTCCTTGTAAAGAATCATTTATGAGGTTTTCATTAAATTCCCGTTTTATTTCATTTCCAATTTCTTCTATTTTTGAAATAGATGTACTTAAAGATTCCGTTGGTGCGTTCGACAATTTATCCTTGTTATTTGTATCTGGTAAATGAATAGTAGCATCCAGACTTTCAAGTCCTGACTTCGATAAATAGTAGGCGAATACATTCTCTGCATCTTTTATTTCGTAGTAATTTTGCACTTCCATTTTATCACACACAATGTTTCCTAGACTCGCTTGACTGTTAAGCGCAGTATCAGTTCTTTCTGGACATAAGATTCCATCGCTATTGTTTCTTGGATCTTCTTCGAAAACGACGGTCTTTTTATTATCTCCTTCTTGTAAAGTTATTTTAGAACCGAGAAGAATTTCAGCTGAATTAATTTCGTGTAGGTTGTACTTAGGCACTTCAAAAAGTAAAACATCAGTGTCACTTAATCTATTTTGCTGTAATGGCGTATTTAAGCTCTCTGTATATTTTAAACGTTCTTCAGTTTTGATGCTTTCTTCGTTAAATTCAGTTGTTGTATTTTGTGACATATTTGCGACAGACAGTACATCACTTTGATTCGACTGAGCTTTATTAAGAGAATGATAACCCTTTTCTGCATCAGATATGTCATAATAATTGTAAAAAGCCTCTTGTCGAAGACTTTGAGCTATGGTTTGTTCCATTTCCATTCGCTTAACTAGTTCTTCTTGAGTGTTTGATGTACTTAAATCATCCTCGAAATTAAATTCATCCATTTGTTTTTGTGTGGAAAAACTATTGTCAACATCAATAGCGTGTTGGTCAATTTTATTTTCTATTGTTTTGTTACATACAAGTCTATCTATTTCGTTTACGAAATCGACTGGATAGTGAACATTCATAGCAAAATATTTTTCCGAGTCCGCTATTTCCTGATAATTAAAACGGGGAATATCACTAGCTAGGGCTTCAACACGTTTTTCTGACTTCAAATCCGCTTGGTTTTCTAAAGATTCAGGTTTTTCGTACTCGACTTTTTCTGTAATTACATCAATTTCATCAGTATTGAAGGATTTTTCAAATGTGCCTGCAGCACTACCATTATCGTTGAACTCAGGTGTTTGTTTCAACTTTTCTATATCGCTATTATGGTCTTGAGCTCCAATAATAATTTCTAAGTACGTAGTAGGAAACATTTCTAATTGCTTGTTATCTGTGACAAAATTATAAATTTCGGACTGTCCTTCGCTAATAGGATTTTCTGCCAAAACAACCTCCACATCGTGAATCGGATATTCATTTTTATGTCTTGCTTTTACAGATTCGGACTCAGATACCGTCAACATTAAATTTTTATCTTCAATTATTTCATTTAAGTGACGATTAGGCACTTCAACTTTAGGGAAGGTTGATAAAGAACTCTCCTCATCAATCACTTCCTCATAAACATTTGCGAGTACTTGCTGAACTATACCATCATTATTTTGTGAACTTACTTCTTGGTCCTCAGCTTTAATTGTATCTTCCGTGGTAGTAAAATCTTCGTCCATTATCTGGTGGTAATCGTAATCCATTTTGTCCACGTCAATGTTAAATGAATACGTTTTTATATCTTCAATCAGTTCTTGATATGGGATTGTATGCGATCTGGATGGCGCTGCTCTTTTACGATCTTGAACAGATCCAAAAATAGCATGTTCCAGAAGAGTGTCAGTAAACTCTTCTACGTGTGGAGATATATTTACGATATTATGACAGACCGTTTCTAAGGACACCGAGTCTTCATTTTCTTTATTTAATGTATCAGTCAGGTTTTCTTCGTTTTTAATGTCCTCGGTAGGATTTATTTTGTCTTTTTCAAATTCCACTGTAACATGTTCAGATTTCAAAACATTTTTAATGCTTTCTTCCGATGCAAAATTGTCATCGGATACATTTAAAGAATGCTTCTTTGACATAACATTTGAATCTGAATCATCAGTTTGTTCGCATCTTTCCTTAATGAGATCATTTCCTATAAGCTCTTCCTCTAAAATATTGTCAACATTTACAGGCGTATCGACATGATCGTCGATGATCTTGTTAGGAGTTATTTCAAGTTGAGATTCATTATCCAAAGAGTTACTTTTGGAACTAAAAATTTTAACTGTTCTTATAGGCGGCAATTTCTTTTCTTCATGTGTTATCAAATAAATCGTACGTGTTTCAACATCTTCCATTATTGGCTCATATCTTGTGATTTCCTCCACAATATTAAACGAGCTGCCTTTTGGAGAGTTTTCAAGTTTATCATTGTTATTCTGTTCTTCAGAATCAGCTGTGTCATCTTTTGCATTTTGGTTTCCTTCAGAGACTTGCTGACAGTGTATGAATTCTTCATTTTTGGTTTTAATGCTCGATAAGTCTATTATTTCGGGAAGAATAGTAACCTCTGTCGCTACCTGTATATTTGTTTGACAAGTCTCAGTTTCGCAAGTTGGTTGACTAATTGGTGATAGTTCAGATTCTACAATACTTTCTTCTTCGGCCATTAAAGTATTCCAGTCCATTGTAACAAGATAATTATGAACTTTGTTATAGTAATCTAGATTTTTTTCTTTGTCATTTGACGCTTTGAACTCTTCTTGCGAGCCACTGGCCTCATTATCGTTAATATTTACAAAAGATGTATTTTGCACTTTATCTATAGATTTAACAATTTTCTCTTTCGATTTATTCTTAGAAACATGTTCTGTCGATTTCAGAATCTTTTCTTTTTCATCATCAACATTTTTCGATTTTTTACTCTTTTTGTGTCCCTTTACTTCTGTAAATTGCTCTTCCTGTAAGTTTTCCAAATTTTTTTTGTCTTCTGAAACTTTTTCAACTGGTAAATTTTGAGAAATTCTGTGTTCAATTGGCTTGTCGTTTTCATTGGAATCAAGGTCTTTCGGGTTTGTTTTCTTTTTAGAATGTATAGTGTCATTAATATCCTCGTCATGATTATCTGTATCCAGTAACAGTTCTTTAACAGAATCATAAGATTCGGTTGTTTGAATATCGTCTTGTTTCAATACTTTATGAATTGGTTCAACTAGTTTAATATTTTCTTCGACCACTGTTTCAATGGCTTCAGTTTTAATCGATTTGATTTGGTCATATTCAGCACTTTGACTTTGTTTTTTATTCTTTCTCTTTTTCTTTTGTTTAGATGTTATCTCCGTTTCTATTTCTATTCCTTCTTTACTATAATTAACATTTTTACGATTATCAAAACTACAAGTTACACTAGATTCCTCGGTTTTAGTACACAATGCTGAAGTTGCCGCATGAGTACTCATCTCCTTTTGAATAAAAACATTTGTTGTTTCTCTTATAATTTCGTTCTCACTTTTCATATTTTTGCTTTCATCTTCATACATTTTCGATAGCGGCAACGACGGTATATTTGCCACATCATTCGCCTTAACATTATTTCCATCAAATTCATTGCTTTTATCAGACCATTCTAAAGGTTGTGTATCTAACGAGTGTAATTTGGTAAACTCATTTTCTGTAAGTATTTCCTCTTGTTTTGTAATTTTTGTACATTGTTCAACATTCCGTGGGGAAGTCTGCTGATCAGAGCCCATAGACCTCCCCGAATTGTCCTGGCTACTTCTAGCAGTTTGTAAATCCTTAGAAAATTTCTTTTTCTTTTGTTTATTAGGATTCTCTTTCAATTCTAAACTTTTCTTATTAGCTTCTTTATCCACAGATTCATCTAATCTTCTACCTTTAAAAACTTCTTTGCTTTTGTCATGGTTATCTTTAATTTTTCTTTTTTTATGTCTATCAGACTCTTCAATTTCTTTGAGAGCTTTCTCTATTTCATCATCTGATTCTTTTAGCTTTTTATGTTTATTTTTCTTTTTAGTTTTTTTATATTCTACTTCTGTTTTGGGAGGATAATTTTCTTCTCCATCCGTGACTTTTTCTGCAACAGTTTCAATAACAGTTGCACTGTGTTGAACTTTTTTTGTTATCTCTTTACCAGGTTTTTCAAGTTTAGGTTCATCGACTTTTTTAATAGATGAGCTTGCAATCGTGCTGGTATCAGTTGTTTCCAATACCTGTAATTCGGTGGAGTCATCAAAGTTCTCTACTTCAATCACTTTTTTTGTGGGTTTCTTTTTTTTAATAATTTGTAAGTCATATGATTTAGTCGGTCGCTTTTCAGGAGCACGTCTCTGCCTTGGCATATCCCTAGAACGACTACGTTGGAATGGACGTTCAGGCCTGTGAGTTTTTAAGCGTGAGGAATCTGTTCTAGGCTCCTGTTTTATGAGGGAAGGAGCTTTCTCTACTTCTACAACTATTTCTTTCACCATTTCCACTTCCGCTACCTGTGGTTTCGGTAGAGCTATTGTATTTTGGCTGTTTGCTTGTTTTCGTAGTCCAAGCGCTAGAATCTCTGCATAAGATAGATCTTGAGATCTTAATCTCGAAGCGGGACTCAAAGATCTGTCATGATACTCTGGTGGCCTTAATTCGGCATGGCTCAGATCTTGGTGTACGTTTTTCATAGAAGTCGCAAAATCAGAACTTTGGACTCCTGAATCCTCTTGAAATTCCGTAGATAAATGTGTTCTATCAATATTTTCTTCCAAGTAGGGCGCGTGGTGAACAATCGGGTCGGGAGTATTCGCGTCACTTTCACTGACATCGTCGACGGCCTCACTTAATGGACCACCACTACTTGGCTCGTTGGCCATTTCACTGCCGACACTCGGCACAAGTGCGCACGTTTCACTGGGATCGGACTCCTCCTCGGCGGGGGTTGGGTGTCGGGGCCAGTCGTGGGCGGGCTCGTGGGGCACTCTCTGCGCACTGGGCTGCCTGGAGCCGACCGAGCTCGAGCGTGAGCTGAAGCCCTTGACTATCTCGGCGTAGGTGGTGCCGGGGGTGGGCGTGGCGCGCGGGGGGTGCGGCGAGCGGGGGCGGCGCTCGGCGCGCGCGCGCTCGCCCGCCTCCAGCAGCAGGCCCAACGTGGCCGCCGCCTCGTCGCCGCCGCCCACGAACGGGTCCAGCTCGTAGATACACCGAGTCAGCTCTTCGATACGCCGGGTGACCTCCTGATACGCAAGTACGGACATACATGATTTACAATGGGTTCGCTGGCGTGCGAGCGATGAGCGAGTGGGGAGGGGGGGGGGGGGAAGCGATGGTTGAATTAAAAGACGGTGGCTGCGATGTTTCGAGTATATTTCGTAATAAAAAATTATAATAGGAATAGATGACTACGGATCGACTTAAGAGCTAGGTCCGACGATTCCCGCCTACGTGTCGCGGAGCGGGTCGGCGTCCGGCCCGCCACGCTGTATGAGCAGTTTGATGCGTTCGTTTCGCGCCTGAATTTTGCTTTGGAGCGACTTGATTCTCTCTCGACATTCCTGACAGAGGATATCGCGTCACGAGTTAGTAGTGGGGTCGGGGGTGGGGCGGGGCAACAGAAAGAAAACAGATGAATGCCGGTGGAAATGTACATTCGGGCGCCGCGCGCACGTCGAGGAGCGCAATAAACAAAACTAGAACGCTCGCTAGCCACCTACGGGTGTCGGTGCGGTGGTGAGTGCGTGAGGGGCCGCTGCGGCGGCGCTGCGGGGCGGGCTTACCTGCTGCTGCCGCTGCGCGCGCTCCGGCTCGCGCGGGCTGTAGTTGGGCTGCGCGGCGTGGCGCAGCTGCTGCTCGGCGTCGAGCAGCTGCGAGCGCAGGCGGGCCAGCTCTGCGCAGTACGCGTCCAGCTGCTGCAGCGCTGCGGACAGCTGGCGGGCCTGCGCGCCGGTCTGCTCGCCCAGCGCGTCGAGCGCTGCGCACAGCTCGGCGGCGGCGCGCTGCACTCCCTCGGGCGCGCGCGACTGCGACGCCACGCCGTCCGGCCCGAAGTGCACCTGGGCAGCGGGAGCCGTTAGGGGGGCGGAAATGACCAGCTTCGAACCACCACCGAAAATCGATACTCGAAATAGACAGACAGAGACCCGAAAAAAAGACGACAAGACAACCGAAACGAAAAGTAATGGAAACCCTGAAAGAGAGACTCACGTTAAGCTTCTCGACCGAGTAAGAGATCTTAGTTTTCTGAGTAGATATATCGTTAATCAATTTCTCTCGCAGTGCGAGCCGATCCCTGAGGGGCTTCTTCGCGTTTTGCGGTGCCTCTATGGTCCGTGTGGTGGCTTCCAGCCAGTGACCGACGTCCTTTAATTTCTTCTCGCATCTCTCCCATTCTTCGGCCAACTCTTGAAGTAGACCATTCTAAAAATAAATTAAGTCGTTAGTAACGTTAATATAAATAAAACTTAAGGTCATCGTATATATAAACATATCATGTAAGACGCACAGTCTTAGCCAGTTTCTTTTCGACATCAACGGTGGCGTTCTCTGCCGCTTCGAGCCTTGAGGGCAAGTCCCCTGGACTAGTAACACGTTCTATAGCCTCTATTTCCTTAGCCATATCGGCGAGATTCTTCGCTTGCTGCTTACAGCTCTTGAGTGCATTCTGAAAAAAAAAGGGTAAAAGAATATAATGAAATTACATTCGCAATAAAATAATAAACTTGACAGTAATTTATATTTAAATCGTCACCCCATATTCAGTCTGTTTCTGTTGCGCCTCCTGCAAGTCGGCCAACGGGAGTGGCCGCGCGAGGAACGCGCGTTGAGTTTCTACCCAGAGGAGGACCTTCTCGAGCAACGCGAGGAACCTGGCCACGGCGTCGCACGCGTCCTCGACGGCCGCTTGGCGCGCCTCGAGCTCGCCGCAAACGGCCGCGAACCTGTCCGTCAGCGCCAGAACGGTGGACTGCACCAGTTGGCGCTCGCCAGCGTCGCGGCTGCCCTCCACGATGGCGCGGGCGTTCCGCGTCAGCCTCTCCAAGCGGTCCGCGACGCTCGGCACCTCGGACCTGGTGGCGACCAGCCGCTCCCTGTAGGGCTCCGGCGGCAGCGTCCGGTCCCTGGCGGTGAGCTCGGCCGCGCGCAGCCACGCCTGCACGCTCTCCACATCGGTCGCGTACTCGCCGCGAGCCGTGCGAGCGCGCTTCCACTCCCTCTCCTTCTCCTCCATGGCGGCCGCCAGTGCCTCGGCGGATAGCTCTAGCGCAGACAGCTCCTGCGCCACGTCCGCCGGGGCGGAGCCGCCGTAGCGCCTCCTGCTCTCCTCCGTGAACGCCTTGGTGCGCCCCACCAACTCCGAAACCTCGGCGGTGAGCTCACGCACTCCTCCCTCGTCGTCCTCCCCGAATACGTAGAAGGTGCCGACCTTCGCTATGAACACCTCGATCAGCTGCCGCAGCTTCTCAATGTTCTCCGCAACGCGGTCGAATTCGGACACAATGTCGTCGATCTCCGCGAGCCTCGCCGCAAGAGTCTGTCGCAATCTGCAAAAGGGGAAAGCGTGTTAGTCGCGCGTCGCTTTGGGGCGGCGGTACTGCGCGCTCTGCGGGCGCGCGCTAGTGGGGAAGCTGCCAAGGGGCGACGAAAATAATCCGCGCGCAGCGTGACGCGGCGGCGGCGGCGTGACGCGCAAGGTCGCACCTCGTGTTCGGTCGCCGGCGGCCAGCGGCGCTCCGCTCGCATCGCCCGCCCGTCGCTCAATGAACCCGCCGCCGCGCCGCGCTCGCCCGCTCCCGAGCCGCGTCTAATTTCGAACCGCGCGATGTTTGCACGATGACATCAGAGCGCGAGCCAGATTCTTTTCGGTGCAGCGCGTGTTTACGTCGCGAGCGGCGACGTGACAGATCCTATTGTGCGGCTCGCGGTCAGATAATTCGCGTATTGCGCAACGGCCGAGAGGGGAGCAGAGGGCATGCGCCGAGCGGCGGCCATAGCCGGCCGGCGCGGCGCATGTGGGCGAGGTAAACACTAATGCGGCCGCTGCCAAAAGAGCGACGGTATGGGCCTAACCCGCAAGCGGTCGCAGCTGCTGACTCACCGACGTGAACGCGTGCACGGTCACATCTATTCGCGGTTCCGGAGCACGCGAGATCGGGGCGCGGTGCACGCTCGCTTATCTGGGGACCGGTCCGACCGGGCCCGCTGCACGTTGAGCCGCCATTGACGCCGCCGAAACGTTCACAGTACCAATGCACATTGCATTCGCGACGAGCGGGGGAGTGGATTGCACTGAGGCGTAGTGCGCTCGGAGCCGGTATGCCGGTACACAGTGCGGGCCGTGACCCGTTAACTGCGCACCGCGCATGCGCCCACCGCCCCGGCCCAAGCGAGATGCGTAGCGGCTAACGATTGCACAGACACCCGTCTGGGGGCGCGGATCGATCGAATATACGCCCTATCGCCTGGTGCGAGGGTTGCGTCTCCCCCGTGTCACTAAGCGACTCGCGACGTTACGGGTCTCCGTCTGCGAACGTTACACGTTATTCTATTCTTGTTTTCGTTGAATTATGACGAAGATAACGATAGGATAACAACATTACAAATTTCTTTAAAATTGTACACGATACGAACGCAAAAGATATCGCCCGAAAGCAGCGCCGTGACTTGTGATTCGGGAGGATCGAATCAAAATAATTCAACATCGTGTACTAATGCTTATGTGTGGCAAGATTCCAGCATTAATATTTACTTTAATTTGAAGACGGAAGGTAAAGTGGCACGTTGCATTGGATCGTTGCAGATAATGCACTATTTTCGTAACCAGTGCAGAGTTCCGCATTGAATTTATTATATGAATGTATAAAATATATCAATCATCTACCGTCGCTTTATTTTTATACGTAACTCCACCAATGTAGACGAAGAAACATCATGATTACCAATTTTTAGTACATTCTCATTTTAGCTCGATTAAATTTTAGGACTGCTTTGAACTAAATTTAGCTCTAGTGTCCAATTTTAATTAAAGAATTCTATTTAAAAACACGAAGCCAGTGTTGTGGCTTCCAAAGGTCTCCCTAAAAAAACAATGATCTCAATGATCTCATGTATCACAGATAAAACGTCAAAAGGCCTCAGTAGGAACTTTCATTAAGTAAATTTAAATAAAATTAAAAAAGGAAGAAAAATGTTTCATAGAGACGATAACCATCGTTTGAAAAGCATTAAATGTATTTAATTGTCAAGTGGAATCTTAATAATGTGGACCCAACTTCTAAAATTAATGAATTTAAACAAGCGGTAATATATACCTCTGGTTTTTACCGGGCGGGGTTTGCCCCTAGTCATTTGAAGTGTTATAGTAACTGATGCATCGATACAGTTGACACAACTGCCTTTTGTATTTGCACGTACGGCCTTTTTGAGATAGTACATTCTCAATTGACGCCTTTGCCGCATACGCGGTGAAACAATAGGAAACACTTGGCCATCCTCGACCGTGAACAAGGTAAAACAGTGGCGTCTGCTTAACATTCACAATCCACAAGTTCGTGAACTTATTTAAAGAAGAGAAGCATCTTCATTCACCTCCCTATTGAGTCCATTACTTCTCGTTGCAAAGAGGTTCTCATCAGTTCATCGTCTCGCATTATTATTCTAAACTGCCCAGCGCTGGACCGCCATTCCGTGAAGTACAGTAAGTTCAGTTCTAAAAGCGTTGCCGGGGTTTTTGCTAGAACAGGCCAGAAACTGAGCGTATCTTACGTTTGTCTCGAAAAACGAGTTCGCTATACGCAACACATCCGTATTGATCACGGCATTCAAACTCAGCGAAATTCCCCTCGCGTTTACGTCTGTCACCATTGGTTACGAACTAAACGTCGCGCTAAATCGATGTCGGACACGCGACAGTTGTCCCCTCTAACTGTTGGGTAAAGATACGTAAAAACATATTGACTCCAGTTGTTATACGTATATACTCTCGCCTACCAACCAGGAGGTTATTCAAAGATGAAGGATTTCAAATGCTACTCAGATGAGTTTAGAACTCATGCATAAATACTAAAATAGTATATATTAAAGCTCCAAAAAGAAAACCCTTCACTAAATTACATTAGCCAGTAAGAGACAACATAGCGTATGTTTTTGCAAAGGTCCTTTAATAACAATGCAAATTTACCTCTCAGATTAATACATGGAAAAGGGCAGGGCTAAAAAAAAACACACTGCTAAATGTGACTTATAATAACCGTAAATATCGGTTCCGTCTAATAACGTGATGTATAATACAATTAGGAGTATTAGTAAGAATCACCGACGTAAATACGACCAGTCTGAATACAACATAAATCTATTATAATGTTTTCAACATACGCAATGCGTACAACCAAAGAGTCTAGTCGAAGACCATATTTATTCCTGGTTTCTTTCATAAAAGATGCAAATGAAGAGTGGTACGGTAATTTCATCTATGTTGAAAGACGTCGCCAATATTGGACCTTGAGTCCATCAGTGGACCAACAAATGACCCAATGCTACGAGAGTTAATAATTATTTAACAAAACTCTAATTAGAATTGAGGATAATTGATAATTCATTGTCCTAAGATGATCCGTGAAGCAGATGCCAAGGGCAGCAACGAGGATTACAGGTTCTATTCCCGCACAAGAAAACTATTTGCGTGACCCACGGGATAATCCTTTCGGATCTGGGTGTTTGTGCACGTTAAAACTATGCATGTGAAACGTCTTCACGACACAGGATATTATTATCTTGAAGTTAGGGACAGTGTTTTCGAAAGAGAGACTTCTAGATCGTAGTGTCGGGACTTACTACACAAACACTTCAACACAAAATACAATACAAATTCTGTCCCGTATTAAATTAAAGTCAAACATTCTTAAGGCGTACATATCGAGGACAATCGCGTTAGAAATAGAGCCGGCTCGGACCTATAATTTCGCGTTACTAATAATATTTCCTCGTCAATTTCTCGCGGCCGCGTCCGAGGAACCTTCGCAGCGGTGGTCTAAGCATTAAGTAGGTACGACGCGCTTAGCGAAACTAGCCCTGACGCGTCCGTTAAGGCATTATAGACCGTATTGCTATGGGGATAAGGAGTCGGAGTTGTATATAAAAATTCGAGGCACGCGAACTTGAGCGGCGTGACATCATCGGCGACAGAATTATCTTGTGAAATGACACAGAAGCTGATGACATAACAGCGTAAATATTGTCATATGACGTCAGTTACTCGCGGTAACTAATAGAAAAAAACTTCGCGATTGCCGTATCATCAAAGGTCGAGATTATGTTAGCCTTGATAGCGCCTCTAAGATACTCTGCGGTAGTCAATTTTTCAACATTTAACAGTAATTACGTATTTATCGTATTATCATTATAAGTAGTTATTAGTTGAACAAAACAAAGTGAAGTAAGTATCGGTTGCAATATAACTATATGACTGTATGTAAGTATATGATAATTTACTTCAAATTGAAACTCTTATTTCGTTTGCACACATCTCTAAAACTATAAACGGCCTTTCGGCTGTTTTACGCGTCCGTGTATGTTCACAATCAATTCTACGCCGATGACAAGTCGCCCTTGACCGTCGCCGTATGTGTCACACTGCTGAATTAATAACAAGCTTAGGTATCACTTTTTTATCGCTTAATAAACCCGCTCTAGTCTTTATTACAAGCGGGCAAAGTCGCAATTGCAACGAAAAGCTGGCACGTACGTACGGGCCCTCGGTAAGGATGTACGAGTAATACACCACCGACGGTTTAAGATAATGCACCTTATTACATATGCCATAAGGCTGAAGTTGAGCGATCCCCAGTTGGAGCAATAAACTGGACGACGCCAGGGTATGTCTGCGGAATTTTAATGCCTGCAAAGTGATACCCCACTGCTTGCTATGGAAACTGCATTGCGTCGCCGAGACTGTAGACTGCGGAGTGGATTTGGCGTGGTATTTCGGAAATTACCCCGAGACGAATGACTACCAACAATTGTTTACGAGCAATTTAAAATGAAAATAGGCTAAAACACAAATTGAACTCGAGAGAAAATGGAAACGCAATAAAACGCACAAATTCTGAAAATGTTTTATCCTTTATTTGTCTGTCTGCTGTTTGAAGGGAATAACTTATTAATTATAGGACTTTTATCATGTAGGTATAACAACCATAAAGATTGTCTGCAGCATCAAATATTATATACATTGCTATCGACTCTTCATATTACAATTTCCTTGAACAATCTCGCTACTAAATTTAATAATCAAAGAACGACAGTTTTATATTTAACTTAGAAATTTCGAAAACATACAGTTCCGCACAAGCTTTGGACGCCCGCACAACGAGCGAAATGGGTCAGCGGTGTATAGTCACATCTATTTTTTATCTGTGCGATTCGGTATCTATATTTATCGGCGGGAAAGAGGTAGGGAGAATCTTGTCCGCGTAAAATGGCCGCCGCGTGCATCGGAGCGGAACTACGGAATCTTTGTTTTTCACGAGTTAATCGATTGCGCTCTTGCCACCGCATAAAGAAACTGGTTGACACAAATCGAAGAGGATGATAGTTGAAAATATATAAGATGACGAAAAGTTTGACGGTTGATTGCCGTATAGTAGATGAGTGTTACAAATACGGTACGCAGAGACCATACTGTCTTTTTATGCTGGTTTTAGATACGATAGAAAAATATTCTATAATGGTCTTTGGAACACTTCTTGAATAATACCGTAATGTGTGATTTGGTCTAAACAACAATCTGATGATAAGTTATTGAAATATTTCAGGTTTTGATAGCCAATTTATTCAAATAAAGTTGGTAGTAACACTATTAATAAAGTAGACATAACAATTCAAAACAACAAATGAAACTTCAAACAATACTATTTTATGTTTCCGGTCTTCGCACATGCTGTCGACACCTCATGTCGTCAGTTTCTTGGCACGTCAAAACGCCAGCGCCGGTTAGCAGATGGGGCCTGAGAATTCCGTCGAATGGATCTCATACGAGATAGTTTCACTCCAACACCGTTCGGCGGAACCCGATTTAGTGCCAAGACCAGCATTGTCTTAGTACGCTTGACGCCATCAATCTAGCAATTAACTCTGGCCGAAAATGAGCCCTATCGTGATGCAATAAGCGCCTTAATGGCTTCATTGTGCCCCGTTACGTAACAAAACTGTTAACCGATGTAACATAGTTGACGGTTTGCCAAGAACGCATGCAGTTCACGCTTCCGGTGCTGATTTTTTTTATAATAATCGCGTACGGCAATGACATAGATAATGTATTGCGGTTGTGAATGTTTATTGTATCGATTCGGTAAACGTATATCACTTTCTTTAAAAAATTGATATTTACAAAAGTTTATAACAATTTTCGAATACAGTTAAACTTGTTGATCGAAAAAGTGTCGTAGACTTCAGCGGCGGAACGGTTTTACTTAACAAAAAGCAACTCGTTATCTGGACCCGTTACTTGGCGAATTCCGAAGTGTAATTTTTCTTTTAACTTTAAATGCTCCAGTTTGAATATTCATTTTTTTGCCTCTACATTTCCATTTAATAATTTTCAGTGATCCGGTTTAGTGTAACTAGATGTGATTACCGTATTTATCAAACATTTAGCCTGAAATAATGTATAATATCAAAGATATAAAAACAGGTCTTGACGTGGTTTGGACATAATTGAATTTGACGGAAGATGCATTCGATTACGGAACAGCTGAAATACTGAATCCAATTCAATAAATATAATAGTTCAGTTGAACACAAAATTTTTTCTAACGCAAGGGAATATGTTGGTACCGGTGTTATTGTGTACATATTTAGTGTTAAAGCCAATATATTTTTTGTTTTCTATTTTTTTAAGAGAGAGAGAAGGACTCAATCTCTAATATGACGCAAAAGTGTATAAACTTCCAATCAAACCAGTCTTCTTGAGGCCATGATTCGTTACGAGCATGCAACAGCTACTATGGACGCATCGGAATAGATAGTAGAGTACATTGAATATATTTTACACTACTGTACTGGTCTGTAACAAACTTAGAAACATAGAAACAAAGTTGCAGTCGTTGAAACGATGCTCATCACGTGTTTCATCGCGAGCTACTATTAGCATCGCAGAAAACGTACGTGCACGTCCAAACTCGCAGTTTAAGATTTAAGCGTTACGTAAACGGGAGTCTCGTTATACGATTGTCTATGTAGCGATACCGATGACGTCCGACAGTTAGTTAACGATTCTTCAATAGCGAATAAGCACACCCATAGAATGTTTAACTCTACGAGAATTCCAAGTCACTCCAAAAGCTGCTGTAATGTTATTAAGTGCTGTACTTACCTGGCTTCTTCATAAATAAATAATGATTGAAGTGAAAATTATACCGATGGGTCCAAATTTAGCTATGGACCATGTATTGACAGTACAATGACAAGTTCCAATGTGTCTTTAAGGCAAGAGTTTATGGAGTTTGATTGGATAAGGGCGTATAGCATTTGCGTATTACATCCCCACTTACCTTAAAACTGAAAAGTCAATTCAAGAGAATAAAGTTCCGAACAACATTGCTAAAGACGATTAAGATTAACCACACATTCATTTTAATTAGTACCAAGATGTACAAAATTAAAATGTGAATTGTGTTAAGTGAAGATTGATGACTATAAAAAATAAAAGCTGTGAAATGCAGTAATACTATAGATGAAACTACTTTCTATAGACTATACTAGTTCACACCAGACTTACTTCTCATACGCCTCCACCGTCTCCCTGACGGATTTCTCCGTGTCCTCGGCGGCCTCCTTGGAGTGCGATTTCAGGATGCTCACGACGAAGTCGGCGTGCTCCAGGAGATCGTCCCTGCTCTCTTCCAGTCCAAAAACGTCCGTGTGCAGCTCCTGCACCAAAGTTTAATTTTGCAATACATGTCATGTAACTTATAATAGACAATACGTCACGTCTCCAAGCCTTACGTCGGAGGAAGAGGTACTAAACATTAAATACCAACATGGGGCCATACACAGGGCCGCAAAGTGTCGCAATATTTTCATGAGAAAAACGAAAACGCATTTGAAACAGGGTCATCTCGTTTAAGCGCAGCGGTGCCCAGAGGCGTCAATAATAGAGTCAAACCGGTTCAATTCTAAAAGCCCAGTTTTATAAGTGTCAATCATTGAAACACAGAATGTTAATACACGCCTTTATTACTTAGAAAACGCCAGAGCTACCAATTTCACCCGTGGATCAGTTCATTGTGCCTTTTTTTTTACTTGGAGGAAAAAGTTGAGCCTGAGATTGTTAAGAGCTGAATATATACCACACATAGGGATCTCGGAAGTGACATTGTGTCCCTATCACATATGTAACGCTTCGGTCCTAATAATACTGATAAAAGGAACGGATGTTATAATTTAACATGTACTAAACATTTTCACGTAGTTTCAAAATCAAAAAGATACATTACGAACGTTTCTCGATTAAATCTATAGACTACAATAGGGACTTATATCATTATTCGAGGAATTAAAGGCTTTAACTGAGCTTAGGAGCAAGTCTCCAACTGTAATGCCTTAAGTTTTGTTATGCAACTTAATGCTATATTTGTAATATCGTGCCAAAATACCGTGTGACATTTGGGTCCGGTGTCACATTGGGAATGACCAAGAAGCATCTTTTCCGTTACGATAAATAGACGCGAGAGCTCATTTTACTTCCGCCGTATTGCATTGAGGCAAAGCGGTAAATTATTAAACGTCGCAAAACGCTATACAAGGCGATGCTTTGTGATTTTGCTGCCCGGCAACCTGTCCACAAGCTATCCTTTAAAGGGCACCATTTTATAGCTATTCGTTGCCAACGCCAGTCTCCCGTATTGATCGGCGAAGCGCTCTCGACTATCGCTCGGTCGTTGCAAAGTGGGGCTTGGTTGCAAATTGGAACAGTTCGCTTTGGAATTTAATAATAAAAAGAGCCATAAAACATGGAATAATGCCGACGGACCGACGGATTATCAAACTACATGTCCGTTACAAGACCGAATAAGGGGACAACTAAATGATGTAGAGGTATTTAATGGTAGCCGTACTTCATTATAGATTATATCTTAAGACACCGAAGGTAATAAAGATAATACAAACGGGAAATAAAGTACTACCTTCACTTTACTGTGATCTTAAAACATAAATGACTAACTCGTAACCGAAGAAACAGTTGGTAATGCTTTACAAAACTATCAATTATCATGAGTTAACTCATCATTAACGTCTTATTCATAGGCATTTGGGAAATGGTCGGTACAAGGAAACAAAAAAGCTAATCCAAAACAGCTGAACATAGCGGGGCGAGGCGTGCAATAAACTTCCAGTCTCCGACTAAAGAGAACTATTTCATTCATTTAGTTAATCCACACCTTTATAACTAAATTAATTTCTTTTTAGTACATCCAAAGGTTGCCTGGAAGAAATTACTCTTAGTAATAAGGCCGCCCATTGTACCCATCAATTGTACATTAAGTTTTAATTTTCGTTTGTTTTATGTTTGGTGAGCAATAAAGTACCTATATTAATTAAAAGAGGACAGACCGAGTTACCGAATCAAGAACTAGCAAAACCTTACGAACCTGCAGGGCATGTCTCGTGTCAATGGCTCGCCGCCTGGTGCTGGGGCTGGCGTCCAACTGGCGCAGGCGGTCCGAGGCGGCGGTAACGGCTGCAGCCAAGCTCCGCTGGTTGTCCAGGAGCTGGGTCCAACGCTGCAGCTGACTGTCCGCTGTCGTCGCGCGCTTGGCGAGGTCTATTCGTGACAATATACGGGGATTGTCGTCCTGAATTCGTATTTAACAATCGTCTTAAATGCTACAATAGTTTAGCACGGAAGTCGTCCCAAACCCGGTCACCGTAGACGTAAAGACATACGAAGGCAAAATAGCGATGACTAACTGCTACCACCTGGTACTAACAACAGCTCTTATGGAGTGTTATAATACGCATGTGCTATCTCGACATTATAAGTTTATAGTTATAGTAGCGGCAAGTCCCATCTTCGCACGGTGGAGATTTATTTTTCTACACCTCGGATTACATTATTGAAGTTTCTGTAGGATTCCTTAATTTTTAGCATTGTAATGGTGAAAAAATTTTGCAACTAGAAAGTATAGAAACAGCCGAGTGAACCAGTACCAATGGTACAGAATAAAATAGAGAAAGTTGAGACTCACCCTCGCACGCAACGTTCCAGCGGTCGGCGAGCTCCCTGGTCTTCTGCTCGACCCTCTCGCCACTGGCGGCGTCAGCGCCGCTGCAAATCTCCCGAGCCCGCTCCCGCACCACGTCCAGGAGCGGCTGCTGGTTCTGATGAGGGGGAGGAACATCGTTGTAATCAGAGAACATCGTTCATCTGCCGCCACCATCATCCATAAATTAAACGCGAACAAAAGTACACTAAAAGTAGCGCTACATTGTTTTGCTTGGAGACATCTCTTTAGACTATTTATATTATCACACTGTTGATAAGCACGAATGAGATAAAAATAACAACTAAGACTAAAGGCATAACTACTTAAGTGATACATCAAACGGAAAGATTATGGATCGTTATTACACATTGTTTTGAAAGATGGAAGGCATCGCGAAAAGGAATCCATTTCCCAACTCAATTTAAATAACATGTTCAGCCAATGCATCGATAAAGATAACTGAATAGAAGTCTTGTTCCGTGTGTAACACAAAACCTTGCAATATTTAATGGTAGCGTCAAAATCTTGTAAAAATGAATACCAATTTAAAAATAAGGCCGACAACGGCACTGGATGCATTCCGACCGAGTGTTTACAATGTTATCATGTGTGCGATGACTGATAAGCGGTGCCAGATAAGAGCTATATGGAGGTGAAACCGGCGTTCATGAGTTATTAATGCGGTACATTGTGATTGCGAAAAACTGGACGGGCGCCCCTTTCTCAGCTGCGACAGCTTTCTACGTCTGTTATAAAGCGCAGACGCGAATTTCGCCACTACGAAAGCTCCACCTGGCTTTACCGATAGAGAAAGCACGCTCGAACAGTTATATCGATATGGAATGTCGACAATTCAAAACTTCACTATAATCTGTAATATTTTTTCTTTTTAAAATATGATTAGCCGTGAATCGAAGGTGTAATTTAGAACGACGTCCAATTAAATTAATTGTAATACTGTGATAATCTAATACACATTTACTGAAATAAGCAAATTTAACAGCAAATGTTTCGCTGATGTAATATAAAAAAATTATATTTAAAGGGGATAACGAGGTGGACAGCAACATCTGCTCTACACTTGCGGATAATACAGTAGCCAGACAGTAAATTTCATGCTAATTCAACCGTATCAATACGAAACTTTGTGTGCTTGTGTCTTCTTCGCCATTACTCACACCGCGACGATAATATTTAAAGAAGTGGAAATTAACAATTTAGTTTGATGAACAAACACACGAACAACCTTTGCAATTTTTTTTAAATTACATTACGAAGTTAGAGATTCTGTTTCGTCTCTTCTATTTTCCCATGTCTGATAAAGACATGAGCTTGTGTTTCGTCTTTTCTATTTACCTATGTCTGTTAGTGGCCCTCCACATTGTCTGAAAGTTTATCATTATAGGGAAATCATCATTGAATTTAACGTTATTCGGTCGATAGGAAATATCCTGTGAATCGCGAGGAACTGCAATAGGTTTCCGTATTGGAAGAGTCGTGTGCTCCTCGGTGTTCGGCATTGGCGCCGCGTGACCTTGCCTCGTCGCCTCATTGAGGATATTTTTAGACGCCTCGTTTTGGGAGTCCGTGCTCGAGTGCACTTGTTTGCCTGTACAAACGATCGCTGTGGCTGGCCGGTCGCTAATTAGTGATTACAATAAAGTCACTACCAATTTTCCTCATATAGTCAACCATCACAAAGTTACACACTTCTAAAGTATAGTTAGACAGTTAACCATAACAAATTTATCCAGTACTAATTTGTATTCATCGGCTTTACGGTATATGTAGCAACTTATTGAGATCTCACAACAATTATTATTACTGAATGAACACGGCGCTTGAATCTAGATGAATGTAGTCGTAAAACTTTCGTGGAAAATTTTTAACTAGTATCGCATTCCAGTATAATTAACAGTCGTTCAGGATAATAATTCTCTAATAAAACTGGCAATTAAGGCATACAATATGACTGAAAAATAATCGATTTATTCGTATTTAAAACGATTCAACAAAAAGTACTATACAATAGGCTAACTATAAGGACTGTTAAGTTCGAAGATTGTCAAATCGTATAATTTAATTTTGCAACGGGCAAAAGTTTTATTTCCAGGCAAATGTTTGGTTCGTTACGCATTAACTTTGAGGACAATTATAGAATTCTTACAGCGTTATTAACATGTCATTAAGGATGTCGATGCAGAAACGACCCGAAGGACTTCCTGATGAAGTCACCAGGATTTTCCTGTGTTAGGGTCACGCAAAGGTCGTCGCTATTACACGAATCTGCAAGTCCGTTCGGGGAAGTGTCAGGACCTCGAAGAAGTCCTGACACTTCCCCGTAGAAATGTGAGTTATCTGGTGACTTAGGTAAACGGAGCCAACTTTATTGAAAGTTTTCAACGTATCTGCAACGCTACAAGTGTAGAAATTTCCATGGGAGGCGGGTATCACTTAATATCAGGGGAAGAGTCAGCTCCTTTGCCATTTTCCTACATAAAAAAGAGAATGTTGAATCGCAAACAAACATCAGAGGATTACTTCAAACGAGGCAACGAACCGAAGTGCTAATATATGAATAAAGGTGCAAATACCACATGATTCATTAGCAACAACTTGTGGAGTGCGTTTTGTGATAATTTTGTGCCACAGTTATTGCGCGATGTAAATGTACCAATGTGGAGGTGCTATTGATCTTGTTACTTCGAGAGTGTACCAGTGCACCAATGGATTGGCCACGAGTCGAAGATTCATTGTGCATCAAGACTACGACCAAATAATAAACATTTACACGGTGCTCGCAAAATATATCGTTCTTCAAACTTTCAGCATGACGCAGCATGAAATTGTGAAAACATGAGTACAGATTTAAATGTAAAGATTTTTTGAACTAAGTCACTAATGTATCTGAGGTAATTGAAAGACTCAACTAACACGGGTATAGAATGTTAGGTACTATTCCTTTTAACACAGTTCGGCTACGTACAAATTCATCATCATTTGTAAATTCCAAAAATAAAAAAGGTACATGAGCCACTGTCAGAACATTCTACGTAAAACTCAGTAGCAAATGTCATTAATAACTTCAGAATCCCAGAAGATTCCATTTGAAAATTTCCTGGTGGATCAAGGACGTGGAAATTTTGTTTCATAATTTCCATGGCCATTGCGTATTCGTGCCACGTGTGATGGAAGAGGATAGGATAGCAACAATTGTATGTGCGCCGTAAAGCCACTTTGTAAAAGGATACCCGGGCCCGGTTCTGGTTTTAAATTAGCCCTCACAATGGTGCCTATTTATAAACTTCGTATGATAAAACTACCGGTCCACATCACTTTGTTCGAAATACAATGCGATGTTATATAAAATATACATTGTTTCGAAAACGGCCTGGAATAAGTAAGTTACAAATCAAAAACAATGGTAAAGTATAACGTTTTCGAACTGATGATATCCAATCGATTATTCATTATAAAGGACGAGCGAAAAGGGATATATTTCATTTGACCTAGTCCATAGGAAACATGAAAACGATCAGTAAACTGTTGGCTGATGTGATATTAACAGACAAAATTTAATCAAATATGTGAACAATAAAGGGTAGCAAGTAATCTTTTGGCTAAGGAACAAACTCCCAAGAAATCGAAGGTCAAAATAAATTTACCTTATAACCCAATTAGCAGCGGGAGGTACTTAAAGGGGTGCAATGCCGTCGCAGATAGTAATGAGTGAAACTTCAGTACAATCTTACTAAATTCAGTATTGAACTGACTGTAAATGACAAGACAAAATTACATATAGTTGCTTATAATCAGTCTGAATGGACCGCTTGATCAAAGACTACAATGAAACGATTCTTAACTTTTTTTTGCTGAAGCAACTTTCATCTGATCTGAAATCATTGAAATATTAACTACATATTCGATTGAACAAAAGGGTTTAATTGATGACAAACTCTTTCGTAAACAATCGCAGTATGCAAATTAGCCTCGTAATAGTTGGAAAGAACTTGTTACATGTCTACTCGACTGCTTGTTGTCTGTAAATTTATTTAGTCGATTTAGTCACCTCACTTGCAACAAAAGTTGTTTACAATGAAGCGCTGTATCGATATAGCTAGAATTTGAGGAGTAAACGCCGTATAGCAATGACTCAACTACTAAATTATCGTAACCGAGGAACATGAGTGGGCCGGTGCGAATCGTATGAAATAACGTTGTGAAATCCTTAACAAACGTTAGAATTCTGCTTTATTTTCTAAACTAGTGTTCGTAACGATGACAAAGATTGATTTTGTTTGCTCGGTTCTCATATCGAGCGAGATATTTTAAAATGGAGTACGAAAAGTTGAGGATATTTTTATTATTCCTTATTTTAGTAAACGATCCCGAGGGGAAGCGAGCAGGTGGGTCGCGCGACATGTGCAACATGTAATGGGCCACCGAACAACGCAAAGTTATACGTCAAGTGCTAACGGTTTTCTAAATTAAAAAAACGATAAAACACTGGCAACTTATGAACCGCAAAACGTTAGAAAATCCAAATATCAACTTAAAAATAAAACAACAAATAATAATTTCATCAAACTCTACCCTAAAACTGACGAGATCTTTAAAAATAATTAAATCCGAGCAAATTTTATTTATCACACAAACACTGGCACACGCGCAAAAGAATCTAATAATGAAATTTGTACAAAAAAAGAAGCACAAAAATTTCACAGACGATAAATCCGCAGCGGTTTCGCGCTTCGGGAACGTTTCTAGAACGTGAACTCACCTTCCTCTTGCGCGGAATGTTTGTTTATTTACTTGACGATAATTAAAAAAAAAACACAACTGTATATAATCAACAAAATGCAACTGCGATCGCACGGGCGTCCGTGCAAAGTTTAAGTAGGCACGTGGACGCTGCACTTGGGCGTAGGGGAAACGATACGGCAAACGGCAATTCGGCTTCGTATGGTTTTCATTGCTGGGTGCGCGAGTGCAGACTGGCGGGAGGCCTTGAGCGGCGGCGGCGTGACATCACCGCTTAAGGGGGCACGCCGCGGTTGGGTTGAGGCACTAGGCAGGGCGCGCGGCGTCGCTCGCCCGTTTTTTTATTTAAAATGT